ACAGATGAAATAATTGGTCAGTTACGGCGTTTTTATTTTAAAATCGTGGCATGAAAAACGGTGCTAAAACCGCTTCGTACATGTATTTATGTGCACTGTCGAGCACTGTTCGCGCGAACACGGCGTCAGCGCTTTCCAGCATGGGGGATGTACGTGCCAAACGAACGAAGGACATGTGGAAAACCAAGAGAGACGGCAAGAAGTACGCAGTAACACTGGATAAGTAACTCCTTGTGCTTGCAGACGATCAAAATAAATTGAAAGTCACGTAATATAGTCCGATTTGCAATAAATCAGTACTGCTTTATTCTTTCTGCTCATGAATATATGCGAAGATGCTTGTTCTGTGTTCAAATCCTCACCCGCACGCTCTAAATCTTTGCAAATAGGGAGAAGCCAGACAACAGGTGCGCGATAAAAACTTCCGAACATAGGAAATAATAAGAAAACACACCTTTCGTAGCCCACGTACTTTATTATTTACGTTTCGAACGTTTCTTTTCTTTCTTTTTTTTTTTTTTTTTACCATTCGTAAAGATGCACGACGGGGTCATTTTCATATAGTGAGAGGACAGGCATATTAGCAATATATAAGCACCAACGGAATGCTGGCGAACTTTGAGCACACTCTACATTCCTTTCGATTGTTATTTTGCTTAGAATCGTCGCTCGTTTCTACATACCTGCCATAGAACAGAGGTTTGGGCCTGAAATATACCGAAGTTTAACATCGTTCAGTGGTAAAAGAAAAATGCTGTAACTAAAGCAATTACACTTTCACAATATTAATAAAGGTACATATTATCCGGTACAACCGAAATAACAAAAGTTATTAATGTTATTTTCCGGCGACGAGACAAAATTCACGCGCGTTTTCCCATAGGAATACACAGGGAGACTGGAAAAGTAGACTGCATGCTGCCTGCTTCAATTTGCAACCGGAAGTCTCAGAGACACTGGCGCCAGCTGAGCCTCTAGCGTTTATTATAATAACTCTATGGGAGGATCCGACCGGCTCCGAGCGTCCGAGCGAGCGCGAGCTCGGTGACCACGGGTTTTCTTAGTGTCTCTGCTTTTTATGATGATGCATTTTTTATTACGTGTGCAATAAAAACGAAAGTTAAAATATCTGACAGTATATAGCATTAGTCTTGGCAATATAAGAAAGAAATACGCCCGCAACTTTTCCCATTAAGACCAATTATTGACAAAATTGGCCCTGAACCGCTTTCGTTGAACCGGTAACCGCCACATCCAGGCACGTAGCCAGGATTTTGGTTCGGGGGGGCCCGCCCATGACAAAATGCTGTATGAGGGGGAGAAGGGACAGGAGGTTCCAGCGAAATGAATGATTTTGTGGGGGGGGGGGGGGGGGGGGGCATGGGCTTCCCCCCTGGCTACGTGCCTGGCCACATCAGAATATGATTTTGTTCCGGTTCGGGTTCAATATGAAGCGTTCAATTTCGGTTTCGGTTTTGTACCGGTTCCGTCAAAAATAACGGGTTTGATCCGGTTTTCGGTGCACGTTCGGGTTCGGTTCGACACACTGATTTATACGCATTCCATTGCACCTTGATGTTTGGCTTGGTAGTAGCAGAGTTCTTTTAATTGTCATTTTAACACGATCTTCATGACCAGTAACCTGCCATCTGATCTACACGAATGCAGTTCCCTCCATTCTCTACAGATCCGGTTTTCGGTGCAGGTTCGGGTTCGGTTCGACACCCTGATTTATACGCATTCCATTGCACCTTGATGTTTGGCTTGGTAGTTGCAGAGTTCTTTTAATTGTCATTTTAACACGATCTTCATGACCATGTAACCTGCCATCTGATCTACACGAACGCAGTTCCCTCCATTCTCTACAGATCCGGTTTTCGGTGCAGGTTCGGGTTCGGTTCGACACCCTGATTTATACGCATTCCATTGCACCTTGATGTTTGGCTTGGTAGTTGCAGAGTTCTTTTAATTGTCATTTTAACACGATCTTCATGACCAGTAACCTGCCATCTGATCTACACGAATGCAGTTCCCTCCATTCTCTACAGATCCGGTTTTCGGTGCAGGTTCGGGTTCGGTTCGACACCCTGATTTATACGCATTCCCTTGCACCTTGATGTTTGGCTTGGTAGTTGCAGAGTTCTTTTAATTGTCATTTTAACACGATCTTCATGACCAGTAACCTGCCATCTGATCTACACGAACGCAGTTCCCTCCATTCTCTACATTTCATTATTTACGAGAATCACAGTCTACATGTGTATAGGTCCCAGCCCAGCAGGCACATGATCTTAGCTTTGGAAGGTGAGCAATGTATATGCGCCACACGCACAAACGCTGAAAATGGCATCGACCAGAAGCAAATGGTCTATTAGCGATGTGCGCGACCAAAAGCGTCGCTGCGGTCAGCTTTCCACGATTGGCCAAACCATGGGCCTATGAGCATTGTCAGATTGTCAACTTTGACGGTGTTAGTTTCGGATCGCGATGGCTCCTAGCTTCCACTGTGCTTTTTATACACACCGCCGAACTCGTCGTTGCACGTGATGGTAAGTAGCCAGGATAACAACTAGTGACGTCACGGCGAGGCAAATCCCAGTCGTGACGTCATGGAGAGAAACTATAAGAGGGCGCCACCGAAACATCTCGGCGCTAATAGATCTTGCTAAATTACTTAGGCACCAAGGAGCATATTCATGCCACAAGAGGTCGTTGCACGTGCTGGCGCCTGCAACAGTAACTTTTCTAAAGAAAATCTAAAACAAATGGCACGTTCCTTCAGGTTATACGAGCGTGTGGGGCATCTGTACCTACATTCCGAGCATTTTCCGTTGTACTTTGGCAATTTGTTAAAAATGTATTGCGTGAATCTTGAACCTTTCTTTGTCAGCCATCTACTAATAAAAATAGAACGGATTTACTAGCGATATCACGAAACTAGCGAGCCGCGGCTTGAGCATACCGGGTTGCAAAAACGGTTTAATCAAAATTCCAATTGCTCCCGTTTTTTTTTTTTTTTTTTAGTTTTTTTTTTTCTGTTACTTTCTTATAGTTTAGCACATAGGCCAAGGTCATAGTTTGTGCAAATATAGATAATTAGCAGTTTCGAATAGCACGAACGCCCACGTTTTCTCGCTGTTAGACGCGAGAAAGTCGGCCTCGAGAGTACTCGATTGCCGGCCACGCGCCTCGCTGCACACAAGTGACGTCACGCTTGGGCGGCGGGGAAAACTGGGGAAAAACTAGGGAGAACGATGTTTCGGTTTCGGCAGCAAACAAAATATCACTTTTTTTAATTAACTAGAGTGAATCTGGGAGAACGACATAGCATTTCGGAATCAGGAAGCCATCCGCATTCGGATTATGCCTTTGGATTAGGTAGCTCAAAATGTCGGCGGAGTTCCCCTTAGTAAAGTAAAACGCTGATCCAGAGGCACATACGGCTTCATGCACATTGCACTGGCAAAACACATTCACACGGCGTCGACTCTTGAACGGTATCCAAGCGTGCGAAGGCACAGAGACACAGCACTGCGGCGTGCCGAGAAAGCTTTGAACACTCCGCCAGATTGGCACAGCCCGCTTCTGACGAGTTGTGCCTTTTTGCTGCGGCACTGCGCTTTCCTAAAACTTTCCACGTCTTCTTAACGGCAAGTATCACGCCTCACCCAGGGTCTTAAAGAATGTCTTCGGCGAATGACGACGAACGAGTAGAAAATGTGTCTATAGCGCGCTGGAAAACCACAGCGAAACGCTAGCAAAGCGAAAAAATTCACCATGCAAGATGGCCGTCCAGTGGCCGACTGGCCGCACTCGCGCCACTCGCGCTGCAGCGAACTACAGCGGATGGATGGATGGATGGATAAATACGGCTGAGCCCTTTGGATCGGGCGGTAGCTTACGCCACCTAGCCATTTTGTTTTACCATTTAAGCTTAGAATATTTAAATGTGAAATCTATATTCACTCCGCAGTGCAAAGAAAGTGAGGCTATGAAACCCCCTTGCCATCAGTGATTAAGAAAATACCTAGTTTTCTCTCGATTTCTGCCACCATTCACTTAATCTTTGCTTGGTAATCTCTACAGTCTTGAAATCCACTCTCCCTTCGCTGTCTCTAAAACCCAATGACTTTATTAAATCTATGTTGTCTTCGGTAGGCATAGGGTGAAGCCCTTTACAGTAGAGTATCAAGTGCTCAGCCGTCTCGTCCTCCTCTCCACAAGCAGTGCACACTGTATCAATTTCCTGGTACTTCACTCTGTATGTTCTGGTTCGCAGAACACCCGTTCTTGCCTCAAACAGCAATGAGCTTCCCCTAGAATTGTCATAAATGCTTTCTTTGGCAATAACTCTTTTGTTTAATCTATAGCTTTCCAGAGCAGTCTTTGTCTGCATTCCCTCTAGCCACCGATCTCTTTCTGTGGCCTTAACTTTCTTCTTAACTGAGACTTGCTCTTCCGTATCTTCGCTATAGCCCAAAAACCTTCCTCTTAATTTCCTAGTGCGCTGTCTCCACTTTGTGTCTACACTCCTCATGTATAAATAGCTGAAAACCTTTCGTGCCCATTGCTCCCCATCCATTAGCCTCAACCTATCCTCAAGCGAACAAAGACACGGGGCGCCATCTCTTGGCTGTCTTACCAAATTCACCCCAAAATAACCGATGAAAATAGCCACCACCACCGTTCAACAAATTTTTAAATTCAACCATGATGTCCGAAATTGCCGGCGAGGAAAACTTTTCTCTAGCCTTTTCGCTCAGCAAAAAGATCGTTTTTACTTATAAACCACACACGGTTTTCTCCGGTTTCTTCAAGGTTTCTTCGATGGCTTCGATGGCTTTGATGTTTGGTCGGGCGACGATGCTTCCCGAAAAATACCGAAACTACCAGTTTCGATTTTACTAAACCCCTGATTTCATAACGTTGTTCTTTATATTCAAGAAGTTCAAGGTCTTCCAAAATAAATAATAAATAAAGTAATATTTTCCATGGTCGCCATGAATCTGCCCGCAATTGATTTTGGCGGCAAAAAGTGCCAGCAGATCAGCACTCTGGCAACAGTTCATTGGTTTTCGAGTTTTGCGAGTTTTGCGCTGTTTGCTGTTGGTAATCGTTGCCTTGTTCCTTCTTCTCAATGATAGTTTTTACAGTTTATGCAGTTTACATCTAAACCCAGAAGCAGGCATGGACGGCAACGAAGTTACGCAGAAAATACGGGTACAGGAAATATTTCAGACTTCCCATTGAAGGTTTCCGAGAACAAACTCAAACGCACCTTGCTCGCATTTCACGAAAGGCAGCTGGGTCGTCTGTGAACGCGATCTCGTAAACTGGACGCTTTTGATTTTAATTACCTACCAGTTTGCTTACGTTTTTATTGTTTCGTAGAGGGCACACAGGTGTAACACCTGAAAACAGTGTATAAGTGATACTAGACCAATAGGCCCGAAATGGAGTTGTGTTGGCGGACTCATGGCGGCATTGGCTACGGGACGGTAGCAATGCAGGCAGGACAATTCAATTTCGTGTCAAGTTACAGAAAACACATCCATCTGTTCACGTGTTCCTTTTTTTCTTCGTTGTCCTAGCTTTTATTACAGAATACTGATGTAGTTCCTACACCGCAGTCGCTTGAATTAGCTCGCTTGGGGCCTTTTCCGTATTTGCGTTGAATGAAATTTATGTTCAAGTTGCTGTTTCCGTAGCAACATCTAGTGAACCTATCAGAGCTGCAATCAGCGTGTAGTGAACCTAATAGAGTTCTTTGCAGCTTTCACGAAACTCGCTGACACTTCCTCTTCCCAACAGGTAGCCATAAAGACCAAACTGGTGGAGCTTGGTGCTTACGTGGGTGAGTGCATGCAGTCCGTTACTGGAGCGATGTAATATTTCATTTCATTTAATTTATTATGTCTCTCTGGGCCCGAAGGCATTACAGGGAGGAGTAGGGCACAGTAAATAAAGCAAAGCAAATAACAATGAAAAGGCAAAAAATGCATAAAATAACTACTAAACATCATTTAACACGTTAGTAATGGCACAGTACATAGAATAAAACAAGCGTAAAGCTATACGCACCACGTAGTGCACTTCGGACAGAAATGGCTATACGCACTACGCGGAGAGCTCATGCTGCTCGGGTCACCCTTTGCGAACGGCGGGTGAATCACTGGGGAGCTCATTAATGCAATCCTCCGCCTGCGTTCACGCCGCTTCGCAGCAACAGTGTGCGGCTGCTAATTACAAAACTTAACCAGTACATGCCGCTTCGCGGCGTCCAGCCAACAACCCAAATTCAAATTCAAATTCAAATTCAAATTCTTTATTGATCCCTGAAACAGAGAAAGGAGGCAAAGAAAAAAGCAACTGATACGCTGCTTGACTAGCCTCTGCCCCCCATAGCAGCCCAGGGAAGAACAAACATAAACGTAAAGACACTAGCATTTGACATATTCATTATAGCATGGAAAAGACAAAGCCCTGCTGTCCCCAATTGCACCTCCCAAGCCCTGCTGTCCCCAATTGCACCTCCGGAAAGGGAGTCCCATACCATTTAGTTCTGCGAAGTTTCGTCGACAACATTTGGTTTTTTCTGTGCTCATCGTAAAAAAGAAGTGTCGTAAATATCGCCAAATGCCTCGACAAAACAAAATGTTTGAGAAAAAAGAAAAAAGAGTAGGCCCACCGCAGATCGAACCCACGTCCACTTTCGTATAAAGCGGACACCTTACCACCATGCTATGCCATCGCTTAGAAAACTCGTTGTAACCATTCGTTTTATACGAGTTTCGCAAAGTGCGTACAGCCATTTCCGGCAGAAGTGCATTATGGAGTGCGTATAGCTTTACTCATAAAACAAATATCAATCAAAAGGCAAAAAATACACAAAATTTTTACTAAACATGTAACAGGTTAGTAATGGCAATCTTAAATTTATCTGAGGCAGTGATTATGACAATGGCTGCGGGAAGGCGGTTCCAGTCAATCAAGGTTTGAAGCAAAAACGAGGCATCAAAGGTAGATGTGCTGCAATGAGGGATCCCAAATTTGAATTGATGATTGGTGCATAATGATATGTCATCATGAATGGTGCGTGATGATACAGTGATCATGCCAACCAAGAGGAGTCTTGGTTGTCCAGTTGAGTTTCATGGCTGGAGTCGTCAAACAAGCTTTTATGTGCTGCACACATAAAAACAATAGCAAATAATAATGCTCTTTTGCTCAGCATCCCAGAACAACTTTCATTTAAAAAAAAAAACATCAACTAAGACAAAAAAAAGACTACAGTCTAATACGGAATTGAAAACGAGACTTACTATCGGAATGTCATTCTGTGCAAATCGAAAGAGAAAACTGTTAATGCTGTTCTGCATTTTCAGTATTTTCCAAGAAATAACGAAAGTTGCATGCCGAATGTTTTTTTTATAGTTTTGTTCTTACCAGAAACCATGGAAAGGCAAAAACCAGAAGCCTCAAATAATATAAAAAGATGGCCGATTCCAAGTTTATTTTTGCCACTCAGTGGGAATTGCGGCAACACTTCTGAATCAAATCACAGCATACACGCCACGAAGCAGGAGAGTGAAAGATAAGCTGTAAAAAGTAGTAGCTCTTTCTGAATGGCATTTTGTTAAGATCACAATAAGTGTTTGTTTGCAAACAAGCTCGCTACTGCCCGCTATCAGCAGACCCCTGCGCACTTTATTCTTCTTTTTTTTTTGTCTCACATCCGTTTGCTATTTGAACTACACAATGCACGCAAGTCCTTACAAACATATTATGGGTACTTCTCCAAAAGAAGTTCTTCTTACCCAACCACTGTGCAGTGTGCTTTGATGGGCTAGTTGGTTCATGACTAAATGGAACAGCGCGGAACATAGGACAGAAAGAAATGTTCTGTTCTTTCTGTCCTATTCTTTCTGTCCTATGTCCTGTTCTTTCTGTCCTGTTCTTTCTGTCCTATGTTCCGCGCTGTTCCATTTAGTCATCAACCACTGTGCTTTGCTGAAGAACAAATGAATACATTGCCAGAGGTCTACTGGAGCACCAAATATTGTGGCGCCCTCGTGATATCAACTCCCGCCTAAAGGCTGAACTCCATGGGACGAATATGCTGCGAAAAATCTATGAATTTTGACCGGCGGCTTTTGCTCTGCGCGTGGAATCACCACAGTGGCTGCTATGTCGCGTGCAAAGCGAGCGTGCCGTCAGGCGGCGTTCGGCAGTTATTCGTCGCATTATTCGCTCCATGGAGTTCAGCCTTAATGCAGTGAATTAGATGCGTGAGCCTTGCCTACTTCCCGAGAGGCCTTCCTCTTTTCGGAAATAACATTTACTTGCTTTTATCAGCGTGTGAGAACTCTCAATACTGACATGCCCTGTTCATAATTTAGAAAAACTTAAAAAAAACTATTGATAACGGAACTCATTTTTTTTGCATAGAAGTAACTGTGATGCTTGATAGATGATTCACGATGTGACATTCCAGTTCTTCGTTGCATTCAGACAGAGGTTGCAAGCCAGAGAAGACAGGTCACTATATGATTCTGCAACCAAAAAACGGGAATCCGGGTGAACTGTCAGAGATCTCGAAGAAGGTTCAGTTTCTAAGGAAGGTGGCACCACTGCCACTTTGTGACAGTAAAACACATGTTTGGGCATCGCCTTTGTATGTTATGATGATCATTGGGTAGAGGTACCACTCCAACTTGGATGTGAAATTTCTATGGCTGTTGGGCTTCCACTTGCATTAATTTATAGAAAAGTAAACAGATGTACAAAGAACTGTCGTAGCACTTAAAGTCAGTCTATTATATTATATATCTCTCTCTGTATATCTGTATGGCTCTAATAAAGTTGCTCCTAGTTTTTGCCCGAGAAATTGATGGCCAGTTCATTCTGTAAGTTGTGAGTTTAGGGGTTTACTTTATTATGAACCATACAATAAACCATCAACAGCATCCTGGTGATAATAGCTTGCACTATTGTTCCATTTGATATTGCAATATTGTTTTCACTCTGCATGACAATGTTTTAGGCTACTCTCAAAGAGGACTTAATCTTGACTGGTCCCAACCACCACGAAAACAAATTTCCTTCCCTCAAGATTGCTTGATCCCTCGGACCCGGGTAATACACGCCCTGTTGACTGTCATAACCTGGCGGCTGATACTTTTAAGGGGGAAGGCCGGCAAAATCTTGATACTCTTTGATTTCCCTTAAATTTGGTTCAACACATCAACAGACACATCTGTACTATACTCCGTTCACCCTTCAGCTGAGTCTACGGTGGGAGTTACGTGCCCGCTGGACCAATCAGCCGCTTCCCTCTTATCACCTGACCTAACTCTCCTCGCGTGGGTATGGCCGGGGGTGTGATGACGTGGTGCAAGAGGGGCGTATGATTGGTCCAACAAGGACATAGCTTCCACTGCAGTCTCAGTTTTGATGTGAATGGGGTATAGTAGCCCAAATTGCAGGTCAAAATACTTTCCTTTTTGCAAAGTTCTTGAACTTTTGAAGTTCGTCCTCACCATTTGTTTAAACTGAAAAGCTCTACTGACAAAATTTGAATAAAAAAACCTAAAAAAACCCCCAAAAAACGTGAGATCTAGTTCTTATTTTTTTTCTCTTTTCTCATGGGAGCTATGCTGAGCCAACTAGCCTAACCCCTCGCCTTGTTGCAATTTCTAGTGGCAATGCTGACAACAGGATGACAAATGTCGTAAATTGGGAAAAGTATGGGTAGTACAGCTTGTTTACAATGGGTTGCGAGTAGTTTAACTGCCCGCTCGACCTGCCCATTTCGCACCGTGCAACGTAACCCCGGTGGAAAGTGCCGAGGCATCTGAACCTTTTGTTGAGGCTCCAGCTTAATAGGCCAATTTCTCAATAGCTATTTCGAATTTAGAGATAACGAATAGCATGCCGGGAAGGTAAAGCCCATGTGTTCCGAAAATTTGTTTGATTGGCTAGCTCAAAAGACCGCCGAAGCTTCCCTTTAAAAAGTGCTGCCCTTACCCTTTGGTTCCGACCAAGCTTACACTGTTGAGGACAACTCTACCTTGCTAGTTGTGCCTCTGCAGGGATGTGTGGCGTAGCCATTGCGGGCTTGCGCGGTTTGCAAGGGCGTCATTAGTCTTGTTTGCAGATGACGAGCTGCCCGACTACATCATGGTGATGATTGCCAACAAGAAGACCAAGGAACAGATGGCCCGAGACCTGTCACTCTTTCTCGGCGACAGCACCACTAACTTCACCAACTGGTGAGGTCTTCGTTGCCTCCAGTCCTCGTTAAAGGGGTACTCCGGCGATTTCTTCATGGTCCTCGATTTGCCTGAAAATTTGCTGAACACATCAACGAACATCGCTGAAATAGTATCCTGAATATTAAGTCAAAATGTTTGTTTTATGCAACAATATGGAGTTCACAATTTTGGTCCTCACCATGTTTTTTAAACTGAAAGTCGCAACAACGAAAAGTTTACGCCGGTGGAAGGCAGGGGTTCACTCTTTGGACTGTAGATTTGTTTCCAACTGATTCCAAGCAGTTTGATGGTGTCAAATGAATGCCTTGGAAGGTCGCTCCAGTACCCGTGCACGAGCACGGAACAAATGTTTGGTAAAGTATATTATTTAGATTGCTTGCTCGACTGGCAAGCCTGCCTTCCACTGACGTCACGGCACGGAAAAGGATGGGTATATTTGAACGTTGGTTTTTGCAACATTTTCATTTGCCGATCTCACAATAACTATTATGAATTTTGCAATACTAAATAGCATACCGGAAAGGGTAAACACCAATGATTAAAAAGATATAGTTAGTTGGGGGATAGCTCAAAAAATTGCCGGAGTGCCCTTTAAAACCCAGAAAAATTAATCTTTGTGGACATTTTTTTTCTTAAAGGCGGGGCTTTACTTTCCTTGCTCTAACCGGTTTCTTCTGTGTCGCAAACCGTGAATACGAGGTGGCATATCTGGTCGGGCTCTACCTCACAGGTTGCATATACCGTATTTACTCGAGTAATAGCCGCACTGGTTATAAAGAAAACCTGAGGGTTCGCTTTCCCCCGGAGCACGCAGATTGCTAATCACCAGCGATCGACAGCATGATTCCAGCCATTTACAGGACAGAGATATCATCTTTGTGCGAAGATACCATCTGTGAAGATTGCAATTATATGGAGAATCGTGTTCTCCATCTGGTTATTTGCTATGTTATTTATGCGCAACGCGAAGATTGGCTGTGTTTTGTGGTCTGTGGGAAAGTAGATGCAAGGGCCTTGTTCATAAATAGTGCGGCTATTACTCGAGTAATTACGGTAGTGTCCTTGAAACCACAAACACACAAGCGTAGGTCTGCAAACCGTTTTGTATGTGCAAACTCTCGCACTCACACAAACATGTGTGACTTCAGCTCGAAAATCCTTTCCTGAAATCACATGCTTGTGTCCAAGCCTTCAACGGGGTTGCACGCTACCCTTGAGATGGTGTGTAGCAATAAAATTTTTTGCTTGGCAGGAGTGCAGCTTACTGCTGTACGCAACCGCACACTGCGAGTTTGTGATGCCTGGGGTGTGCGGTTTGCTGCACGTGTTTGTGATGTTTGTTTGATTTGATTTTCTCTTTCCACTTTAGGCTACAGGGCATTCTGGACCACCTTCAGGCTATTGCTTCAGGTGAGGAAACTGCTTATAAGCAAAGACTTTGTTCCTTAATACTTGTTTAAGGTGCACAATATGCTGGAGAAAGTGGTTGACCGACGGCTGAGTAAAACCTAACTGATTGCATCTCTTTTTGGCAGCTTTCACTTCCTCATTCATTCAACTAGTCAGGAAAAATAGGAAGAAGAAACTGTGCAAATAGTCAGGGTTCTCCCCAGGAGTTTCTGAGGGGTGGACATTACCCGGGGAGGGGGGAGCGCGTGCGCGCATTCGTTTTTTTTGGGGGGTGGGGGGGGGGGGTTGTTGTGTCTGTTTATTGCCATCCCCCCCCCCCCCCCCCCCCCCCCCCCCCCCCCCCCCACGGCACTGCCGGTGACGCGCCGCTAAGATAGAGAAAGAAAAAAAAAAAAAAGAGAAACACGCCGCCGAGCGTCCGTGCTCTTTCTTTGAAGCAGTGTGGCAGTGGCGGCAGTCAGCGATGCGATAGCGAACGATAACGTGGCGGTGCGCGGACCTGCTGAGCATGACGGCGACAGTCTGCTGCCATGTGCGCAAGCAAAATCGCATCGTCATCCCGCAGCATAAAAAAAGATTTAGTGGCGGGCGCGGTCAGTTGGAGCGGTGGGCGGTCAGTCGGAGCGGTGGGCAGCCAGTCGGAGCAGTGGGCAGCCAGTCGGAGCAGTGGGCGGCAAAGCCACTGCCGCCCACTGTGGGGAGAACCCTGTTATAATGGTAGAGGGAACAGTTTTGTCTGATGTTTAGTAGTTTTACCTTTCAAAAGCCACTGAAAAGAAAAAAAAAAAAGATTTTTTTAAACAGTCTGGTTGGGACACATATGTGAATAAATAAATTTAATGCGAAAAACATTTTTTTTAGCAATATTCACGGCGCGAGACACATTTTAGTTGGCAGTCACCTCCTTTCCACTGGTACGCACCACCTCTTCGTAGTGGATCGGCTTGGCCATCACATTGAAGTGGAGAGAGAGTGCGACCATCCCGTTGAGGTGGAAAGGCTTGATGACCATTCCGTGACGTCGTGGACTTTGTACGCATAATTCAGATGCAACTAAAATAAGTCTCGCGCTAACAATATTGCTCTAAAAATTTTTTTTTTCGCACGAAGTTAATTTTTTGAACTACGTATCCCAATTAGACTGTTTGAAAAAAAGTTTTTTTTTTTCTTTTCAGTGGCCCTTTAGGGCTCCTACTGTATTAGTAAATGATGTACTCGTATGTTTCGTTTAGCCAGTTGGGATCCTATTTTGTAGAATTTAAATATTGTTCAGCATACTCAAATTATGTGTTGCTAGATAGATTTACTAAACAATGAGATCAACCCTTTCTGACTTCTTGATCGATTGTTTTTCCAAAAGAGGAAGGTAAGTGTTTGTTCTACAAATACTTGTCTAGCATTTTTTGCGTCGGGTATTATATTAGTAAGTATACGTGCGGGTTTTTGTGTAGCCATTCTTGTATGAGAAATTAAAAGTAATAGTACAGTGGACATTAGAGAAAGCCTATTCTGAGTGCCTGTAACATTGACACGCTGCATACATAAAAAAAAATATCACAATTTGCGACGTTTAGATAGTATGTAGCAAGTGTATTTCTAACTCCCGCCAACTTTGTTATAACCTCATTCGACTGTATACAGTGCTTTATGCACACACTTGTTGCCTTCTGCTGGGCTTTGCTGCACGTGTGACAAAGTACTGCACATGTGACAAAGGTATGCACGTGTGCAAAGTACTGCACGTGTGACAAAGCGCATGCCGAAAGTAGAGTGTCTATTGGGTTCTTAACCTGTTGCCAACTGTACTGAAGCAAAAAGATTGTCTAAAATAACTTCGTAATAGTATGGTTCTTGAGCATCCTTCCGGTCCCGAAATAAACTTTGACAAGCCATGCGCATACTCTGACTCACAGAAGCAAAGCGGTCCAAGGGCGAAGTAAGGACCGAAGGACCCGTACCGCCCCCTCATCTGGAGTACACCCCCAGGGAAGTGCTGCCCAGGGGCAAGGTCCCTGAGTTGCGAGGGGACGGGGAGTACAGCGACGAGGTGCTGGCGCTCAAAGCCGACCCCGAGCCAGGTGCGTGCAGTTCCTCGCTCGTCAAGAAACCTGCTCATGCGTCCCGCTGGCGAGCGCTGGCCCCCTTCTGGGATGGTAACTCGTAACACAGAATGTGCTGTAGGGCTGGGTTTCACGAGAAGAACGACAGATTGCACTCGACTGACGCGCGGGTCAAGGTCGTATGAGCATTATGGCCGCCGAGGCCGCATCGCTTACAAAGTCTTGACGTCGGGGTGTTACGTGCAACGCCGCATAAACTTGTGCCAACCTTGAGTCTTTGCTAACTGAGAGCTAACTGGTAGCTTGAGGGCATATGAAAGATGCATTTATCTACTTCCTAGGCTTTCACATTGGGTTCCTAAAAACCCAGGCTGTCCTCAAAGTACCCTTAGGGGTTTTCCAAGTCCCTGAATTTCATGGGCCACCTTTTCACCTAGGTAAAGTCCTCTTCCAGTCTGAGCACTATTTTAGAAGATCCGAGCCATCCGCTGATAGAAAGCTATGTGCTGAACACTTCATGATGGGTGCGTTGTTGTTTACAAGGTCTGGATGCTTCTTTTGCAATGCATTATTGGATCACTGCTAAGACCAAGAGGGGTTCCTCAGCTGTCAATTAATCAAAAGAGACGGGGGTTCCTCGAATTCTAAATATTTGAGAGTGCTCAACCTACTTAGTGCAAAATGGTACTGTTGTGCCGGTAGAACTGTGGCTATCAAGTTCGTTGTACTAGTTGTTTTATGTGTGCCCCTGATCTCTGTCCTCTTCCTCGTATTTCTTGTCTTCGTGGCCCTACTCTGCCGTCCTCTGCCCGTTATGCCCGGTGTTAATCGGTCCGGTCGGTTGCAGACGACGACCTGGGAGAGGACCTGCACGGTTCGGCCGAAACGCCGCCAGAAAAGCAGGTGGCGTCGAGCAGCGTGTCGCTGGTGCGCCCCATTCCCAGGGTCATGGGTCCCGAGCCCGCTCGGGCACACGTCTTCCCGTCAAAGGTAGGAATCCTGTCGACCGCCTTGCTTATTTCGCTCGTGCGTCCCCGACCCGAGCGCCGTCGAGTCGCCGCTAGAAGTGTTCAGAGAAGAAAGCAGTTAGACTTGTTTACTATAAATAAAAGCAGTTAGACTTGTTTACTATAAATACAGATGATTCGATTCCCCTACTCTGGTACGCGTCTCCGACTAGTGTGCTTACCGCATCCTAAAAAGTGGTCCCTCGATTTTTGCCCGACGACGTCTTGGAAGTGTGGCATCGTCGCCGGCCGAGACCCTGGTGGTGTCACAGCGGGGGTGGTGTACTTGGCAGTGGCCGTTCTCTGCTGCAGGTCGCTCTCGAGCTTAACACTCAAGGGAGGCCTCATCAGCCAGAAGTTGGGATGCCGCGACGACGGCGGCTTTAGCATTCCCTTGTGCTTTTCATCCAGAACCTCTCTGCCCTTGACTGCCGGGATAGCAATGTCCGACGGCGTGACACTTGGGCTTTTGTGACGTCATCTGTTGCCACTTTGCATGGGCGGAATAGGACGTTGAACAGACCGGTCAGAGACGCTTTCCAGGAGTTCTATCCCTTCCAAGTTGCCAAAAAACCCAGACTATAAGCCACTGGTGACTGTGCAAAATTAGGCTGCTTTAAATTCGAAACCTCTTCTTTAATGACACTTCAAAAACAAAACAAAAACAGATATGTTAGAGACATCAGAGGCGAAGGCGATCACCCATGAACGCAGCAATACACTTGTCGAGTGCTCCTTCAGTAACAACAAGTATAGGCAAGTTTTTTTTTTCCCTGCTGCTTTAAGTGATGGATTGGCCTTCATTAACATTTCTTTAACTCCGCCAGTGTTTGATCTTTTATTGGAGCAATTGAGATGCACTCTCTAAATAATTTATAAGTGCTGTTTTTGTTCCTGTAGCCAAAAAAGATGTGAAATGTCATTGAAGTTGGTATTCCTCTACCCGATTTTGGAATTGAACCCTTTGTATTGCCAGTGTTTGCTATAATACCTAAATGGGATCAACACTAACTTGAACTGTAGTTGGTGACAGGTTAAGAGCGAAGTGAAGACTCCTCCCACCCCCTTTCACTTTAACAGAGCGAATGCTGGATAGGAGGTGACCTCCTCTCCAGCGTTCGCTCTGCTAAAGTGGAAGGAGGTGGGAAGAGCTTCCACTTTGCGCTTAACCTGTCGCCAACCATAAATATCTAAATAAAGTTGGCGTCTTGCGCCCTGGTGCTTTGACCCGTGGCTGAGCAGAGGCTCCTGCTTTGTTAGTGTTCATGCAGCCAAGATGGGGTTTGAAAATGTGAATGTGCACCTGAGGCCAACGCTGTGCTTCATGTTTAAAGGCGAAAGGAAGCGCGACAAAGAGAGCGTCTTACATAGGGTGCAAGCAGGTGCGACAAACTCTTAAAGGGGGAACCTGTCTCACTCCCTCATGGGCAGGCGGATCCTTCCAAGAAGCCCGCCTTGACCTCCTCGTCCGGGGTGCGGAGGAGGCCGCAGTTCATCAGCGACGACGAGGAAGAGGAGGAGGAGGAGTACGACCCCAGCAACCCGTCCGTGAGCAGCGTGGCCAGCGTGGTCAAGGTCTCCGAGCGAAGGTACTACAGTGTAGACCGCATATAACGTATGCTGCGGGAGTCGCGAAAATCCGCACTATAAGCGGTACCGCGCTATAACCAAAACATCAATTTTTCAGGCCAAAATACATGCCATGAGACAACTTACCTTTGTAAAAGAATTTATTTTATGTTAGATGAAAAATAAAGCCTAGTTTGAAGAAAGTCTTTATTTCACCAGACTAGTACACTTCTCTCTCAAGTGTGTCACACATTTTGAAAGAAATTAGCGACTTTTGCCTGGCGCAGCCTTTTAACGGCATCGCGGGTTGCGGACGAACGTTGCGAGCGTTCAGGATTGCTAACCCTAATCACTTTTCTCCGGCGATAAAAACGCGTGAAAATTCGCATCCTTTATACGATACGCGCCAGTAATACCTTCAACTTGAGCACAGGCATGAAATGTTCCAAATAAGAAATCCGGGCGATGTTCGAAAACACAAATGCTTAGAAAGCACCACTGTAGTCGAAGTAAACAAACACGACGACAAGGGCGTTTCCGCCGTCTTGAGAGTGCCGCCAGGACATCGCCGCACGAGTAGGTGGATCTTCCCTTCTAGTACATGCTGGGTTATCATAGCGACACACAACGAAAATTCACAGTTAAGGATAGCACTTTTACGCGGAACAATGAGTTTCCACCACGCCGTCTACGTCGACGATTACAACCGACGCCATGTTTGCGGATAGAAGCAGCTGGACCGCAACCGGCATTTAACGTGCGCGAACACTTCTCGACCTGCGATTGGTCTGTCGTTGCGGTTGTTTTCCAACGCAGCGGAGGGACGCACGCATGTGAACGACATGTGTCCCTTTGTCGCTATGGCAACTGAAGCCTCTCTTCGCTTCTCCCCGCTTCTTCAAGCAACCTTCATGCCCCGCGTTTTGCCGCGCGAGTGCCGCTTGCGGCTAGCGCCGTTATTTAGTGTCGCACAGGGAAGTGTGCTCGCTGCGTTGGTCAGTCTGCGCGGTCGGCGGGCTGTTCTAGAAACCGCACTATAACCGGTATTTCCGTTCGCGCGCCTGCATTTTAAGCAGTATGTAATTACATGGAGTTCTATGGAAGGCGAACCGGTGGTTTAAAAAAGCCGCGTTATACCCGGTCCTGCACTATAAGTGGTTACGTTGTAAGTGGTCTATACTGTACTACTTGACTCTCCTCTCTCGGTGGCTTCGTGGTGACCCCTTGACCACAACTCGTTTGCAACAATAGTTGCACTGGCCATATTACCTCTCCGTGGTGAAGGCGCAAATAATTGTCCTGCTTGTGACATCATAACAGTAAGTCGACTCCGTTTTTTACATGGGATCCCTGCATGAACTTTGCTCGCGCTGTATCAAGACCGGGGGAGAGTTGGCAACAGAGTGCAGGTGTTGGTTCGGCTTCTTAGCCAATGGCATTGCACCGCGTGGAGAGGGGGTGTGAGCAGTGGCTTTAACACTCCCCTCTTTCCATCCCCTCCCCTCCGCTGCAAAGGAACGGGGCTTGCATGGTAGTGCAGAAACTGGTAGAACTGGTAAAAGGTCTAAGCCAGGCAATTTGTTTGTTTGTGCTCAGGTCCAGTGTCCCCCAGAGCATGCAGGCCAACAAGCTGCTTCTCCTCAAGGCCATGAAGGCGGCCCACCAATCGGTGTCCGCACCTGCTGCAACGCGCACCAGGCGCAACCCCTGTGAGTGACACTGCCCCGTCCCTCCCTTGTGGGAGCTACTCCGAAGAGAGAGCTGTTGCTCGTCCGGTGGTGTAGCACTGCCTCGAATCACCCGGTTGTATCTTCGGGAGTCCCTTGCCTCGGACACATCCATGCCCATCCTCTTGTTTTGGCCCGGATTTGTTCGTTTTTCTAGGCAAATGCACAGCTTATACATTAGTTAGTCAGTCTCTTGGCTCCACAGGCTAACGCTTTGCACTGAACCATAATTTTTTTGCAGGGTGTGGGAGGCCATGAGAGTAAATTGCCCATCTCTGCTCCTTGCCAAGCCGACAGTGCAATGGAAGCTGCCTGCTCATCGGCCCAGTCCTACATCATTCTGTTGTCATGCAATCACACTCCCTGCCATGCCCACTTGCAGAGAGCTAGGTCGGGTGACGAAAGGGAAGCAATTGATTGATGTGGCTAGCATGTAGCTTCCACCGCACTGTCAGTTTGGGAGTGGATGGAGTGTAGCCAAACTAGCCTCGTGTACTGTCTCTACCCTACCTCCCACTGTCCTACCTCCCACGGAGGTAGGAAGCTTCTGGAGGCGACACAACGCCGCCAGAGGTGAAGCTGGGGGAAACTTCCGGTTTGGAGGGACACACCTCCAATGATGACCAAAACCAAAAGACGGTATTGGACGGACACGGCACCCTTGGACGTTATTGAACAGACTTGGGCACCCTTGAAGGGTATTCCCACCGACTGCAACCTTTACTTACGGCTTCACTCGGGATTTTCTCGTTTGGCTGGCTCCGGCCAATGTCCTGCCTCCTCTTATTCCTACCTCCGTGGTGCCTCCCTTCTTGTGGCAGCGGCCCGTGTGGAGCCCTACCAGCCGACCCCCATCCGCGAGCTCTCCACCAAGCGCCGGAGGCTCGGAAACCTGGCCCAGAAAGAAGAAGAGGAGGAGGAGGCCGTTCCAGCCAGTGAGCATCTCTCTCTCTCTCTCTCCCTTGCACCTTTCTCCCCTTTTTTTTGCCGCCACCTGTCCAATCTCAATCTCTCCGAAATGTAGAGCCTCTCTCGAAAAAATAGCAAAGTGGCCACGTAGGTAAATGCGACTTAGCTTATTCGCCTCTCATTGTAGAATGTCTGTGGCTTGCTGCAAACCAAACTGTTACGTGCCTGCTTCATGTTTCGGCAGCAGCTAGCTGACTCTGGCCATGTTTACTGCTGCTGAAGTCAGTACACGGCTGTAAAAATTGGTGATGACGGTTAGTCATGTTACAGCTTTAAAGGGATACTTCAACGAAATTTGAAATATTCCCGTCGTGTTCAAAAATAGGTTGAATATGATCCACAATATCCGTAAATGACAATCGCACGTTTGTATTTTGATCCTGGTGGCTGTATTTTTCGTTATAAACGGCCCACTCTGGCAAGCGCTCGGAGAAGGCCCAGCTTAGAGCACGTGACAGCCAACGCAACCGTGACGTAGGTCGTCTCAAGACGAGCAAAGCTACGGCGAGGCTGACGTCGAGAGGATGGCCTAGTCGTTCCAGCCACCGAAGCGGCTGCTTTTGTACGAATTTTGAGTGACGGGTTAATCTTCTATAATCTTCTAGGGGGACAATAGCGACTTCTGCGACACACAAAAGAGATTCTCAGGAAGAGGGGAGTTCCTCCTTCCCCCCTTCTCTCGTCGTGGCCGGAGACGAGACAACCTCCGTCACTATGTGTCAAGGTTCCTAGACGAGCATTACAAACGAGGCGTTAGCGACATCCACCAGGTGCTCTTTGCTAATCGTTTAATTCGTTTTAAAATTCCTTTTCAATACTTTTTTAACAAGATATTGGTATGTTCCATGCGATACTGCTCTTTTGAACACATATAGACCAAAAAATGAGCGCTGAAATTTCGTTGTAGTATCCCTTTAATTAAAGAGAGTAGAATGCCCCTTGGCACCTATGGAGTTTTTCACACATGTACCAAGCTGCCTGTACCTGTTTCAAAGTCGCGAGACTGCCATGCCTCGAAGGTACATTGGTATCTTCGAGACATGAGCTGTCGATGTGAGGATTTAAAATGACAAAAATCCTTATCAAGCTTTATGTATGTTGATAAATTGTGGCATAATAAGGAAGAGTTTGTTTTTGTTGCACTATATAGCTTGGCTTTGTTCTAACCAACAGAAAGGTCAACGGGACTCTCCATAAAAGACAGGCTGGGGCAGAGAGTTGGTAAGTGATATAAAGCATTTTGGTGGCCCAGTTTGAAACTGCTTTTTTGGATGTGCCATCAAAGACTATTTGCTGTTTTCTGCAGCGGTGGCTCTGCCTGAGAACACCTCGCCTACCATGGAGCCCGAGCGAGGTAAGACAAGCTGCATAGAGAGGGGTGTACGTCAAGCAACCAGATGCCAGGGTGCAGAATTCAGGACGTCAGTATTTCCAGAGCAAAGATGAATTTACTTGTGTTTTGCACATCATCTGTTGTAGCGCTCTTAAAAACTATTTCACGTGGGGCAAGCTTTAGAAAAAAAGACTAGTTGCCTGGAACATTCTGATAAACCTGGAAAGCACTGAATGTGTCGTGCATGCCTCATGTGCCTCGTGAGGTTGGTATTGCATGGGGAGCTACGTCTTGTCATTCGGGGGCCTGCAGCAGCCGACAATTGTTAACTACCACGGGTTTCTGTGGGTCGACCTTAGTCCTGTAGCTTGCACTTCCCTTTTGCCTCCCCCCCGTAGCAGTGAGAAAAGGTTCAGGGTTTGATTCCTGACGTGTTGCTCAGTAAATCTAGCTAATTAGTACAAATAATTATGCCTAATTCTGATAAGGTAGGATTAATTGTGGCTAAGTATGCCTTTTATAAGCTTTGTACGTTTATGCATTGCCTGTTATGGGTTACGTATGATTTGGCTCACATCTGATAATTCTTTATTATGCTCGAGCGTAACGCTTTTCATGTGAAATCAAGCTCTTAAACACATTTTGTATTGAAAAGAATGTGCACGATCTCACGCGGGCGTCTTCACGCGACGCCGCCCGCATAAGACAGTGACAACTACCACAATGGCGCTTTTTCCGCCACATTTTGTGCGCAGTCCCCGGCAAGGCGTCGAGGCTCGTGGGAGCCATCGCTCCCGAGGTGAGGCCCAGGGAAGAGTCGGCCCCCGTCGCACTCCCGGAGCCAGGCAAGTCGGCCGACACCCGCTGCGGCGCGCTCGGGCGGTCCTGCACCGTTCCCGGCGGCGTCCTCAGTGGCGCTTGTTTAACGTCGCAGTGTTCCATCATAGCTTGCTTACGGCTTTAGAGGCTGACCTGCGGTCTCTTTTCCCGCAGAGGCAACGACGGCCAACGCAATTGATGAGGAACCAGAACAAGAGGAGGACTCGGGTAAGCCAGATCAAAATTAATCTTGCCCCGCTTCTTTTTCGCGCGACACGACGCGGACTCCGGTCGTCCGGCCTGCATGCGTAGTCGTGGTGTGCACCTTTATCGTGGGCGCCGACGGTGCGAAAACGTCGGGGCGCATGCACTCCATGCCGTCAGCCGGGCCTAAGCTGCACGCGCGTGCTCAAGGCTCGTGAGACATTCAATTCAATTCTTTTATTTTTTTTAAATTTAGTTTTTACAAATGCGCAAAAATTTAAACCTTGTCAGAGGTAGGGAACTCACGCTCAAGGTGGGAAAACCAAATCTCCTCCACCGTGCTCGCCTTGTCGGCGACTATGGTGAGCTTGCTGGGCTGCGAGATATAAAACCAGTGGTCTTCTTTTATGGTTTTGAGTTTGGTGCCGTCCAGTATATCGCCGTACGTTGCGATCGCCAACGATCCAAGGAACGCGAGATTTTGTGATCCCCGAGCGTCTCGTCGTCTCTCCGTAGCCAGCAAAATTGTGGCAATGACCGACGAGAAGGCACAGTCTCTTTCATTTCTTGAGCTGCCAAGGACCGTGATCACATATCCGACGTTACGAGGCCCTTTTCTTTTCGGTTAATTGTTTTAGTTCCTCTCAATTGGGTTAAGTGATCTTTATTATCAAAGCCTTTGTAAACTCTAAAAAAGATTCACATTTTTTTTTATTTTTTTTTTATATAAAGAGATATAATTTTAGAGCAGAAGTGTAACACCCGATGCTTTTGTGTTTTAAGCCCAACAACGTTTACATCCATTTAGTTTCCTACTGCCCATGTAACTTCTGCACTCTAGGATTTGGTTCTTTGGTCTTAAATTTTGAAGAATGCATGCACAGTGGTGTCTACAAACTGGTAAGTGCCAATAGAATTGCATACATGCTTGGAGATCCCTCGTGGGAAGCTATAAGGGCTGTCGTTGTGCAACAATGTGCGGCGTACTTCTTGCCGACACTGAATCCAGTGCCTGCATTCAACGTTGTCTTGTGGAATCTTCGGGATGTCTGCTATTTGAAAAGAAAATTGCAAACATGGGAAACCGATGGAGACATGTTACTTGTTGGCGCATTTTCCTGGACACCTAAGAATATTGAGGCTATTGTTGATCTATTGAGAATTGTGTAAATATCTGCGAACACTCTTTACACGAATCCAGGTTAATTTCGGCGTCAAAGTCTGCAGATACCGTAGTCACCTCAGTGAACTCCAATGCACCACTGTCGCTATTGATGTTAATGGATACCTCCGTTTCACATTAGTGGAGAAGTCTTGCACTTCTCCACTTCTTGACAGCCTGAAAAGTCTGGGAATTTGGAGGTGCAGCTACTGCCGACTACTGCATTGTCAGCATTATGACATATTTGTGACCGTAGCCCAGTGTATGTGAAGATTTCTACTAATGAGTGCATTGTACTGATTTGCCTTTGTATCAAATTGCTTTGGTATGTGGTGCTCAAAGCATTAAGATAGCAACTGAGAGCCAGAAAAGATGTACTTCGTGACCAGAATAGCGGTCAAATGGAACCTGTCTTGCAAATGGTGCAGATTTGCTCGAGCTAGAGGTGCCAAGGGAAGAGGTGCACCTAGTGGTGAAGGATGCCACGCCCACTTCCACACCAGGTCATGCAAGCGCTTCTGAAGACGTCCTAGGGTAAGTGGCTGCCTCACTCAAAGTTACTTCAAACAACTTTGAAGGGTTGTTGGAAAATAGAGGCCCAGATCTCATCTGGATGGTTGTTCTGAGAGCAGTATCATTCCAATGACCTGAATCAGCAGTTTTAGTAAGCTTAGAAAATGCAAGAGGGGTCACTATTTTTGAGAGAGCAAAGTCCATTTCAACATCAACACAGCAAGCCACTGTAGTTTTCGGAACATAGTGGCACATTTTGTGGCTATTTTCATCATTCTGTAGACCAGTGGTTCTCAACCACTCATGTTTCGCGGACCCCTTGTGGATCGGCGGAGATGATGGAGGACCCCGTTCGTCATGAGGGGAAGGAAAAGTTATTGGTTAATTGTGGTAGTGATTTAATCAACGGATATAACAAAGGGATAGTGTGAAGTCGACTTCTCTTATTGACATATACACGAGAAAACTCACCCGAAAATTGGAATGTTTATTCTCAATCTGAAAAAAAGTCAACTTTTATTGCCGGGAGACAGGGTTTCGCGGACCCCTAGAATGCTTTCGCGGACCCCAAATGGCCCGCGGACCCCTGTTTGAGAACCACTGCTGTAGACCGTAGTGGGATTTGTTGAAGGAAGTATTTTTTCTTCCTCTTTGTAAACCATAGGGGGATTTGTTTGAGAAGTTACAAAGCTTTACCTTTTTGGACGACATTTTATTGTACTCTTCATTGAAACTAAAAATGGCTCTCGTTTGTTGCTTTTGGTTTGTTTTGGGGAAAAAGGTCTATATTATATATCTTTTTTTTTCTGATGACTTTTTTTTTTTTTAACGATTAAAGGAAGGCAGGTGTCAGGAGTCATGCAAAACCCTTGTTTTATTCAATATGTGTACAACTTTCTGAGCAACAGTGTGGGCAATATTTAGGATGTCGAGCCTACAGTTATTGACTGTAGACTACTGTATATCCAGTTTTTATGAAATAAACAAAAGGGAATCGGCACAGTTAGGTGGATAGTCCTGAGCAGGGGCAGTAAAATCTACTTGCTTGCCACTGCTTTTAGTTTTGGTGGTCTCCACTCATCCTTTGAATCTGAGCTTTCTGCTGGGGCTTTCCTATAACAAAGAAACGTTTGAATTTTATCACATATGGCCATGTACCTCCAAAGATCAACCTGGCTCACCTGGTGGTATATACAAGGTGTGATCAAAAAGTTCCAAGACTGATCTTATAGCGTAAAAAGAAAGGGCAGCACAGGGATGTGCATGCAGCGGCCGAAGGCAGGGAACTTCCTGCATCATTATGCCAAAGGGCATCGCTCTGTGAACATTTGGAACTGCGCTACAGAAACTTGTTTGACCACATGCGCGAGCATAATGGCGATCTCTCCATAGACTGCAAACCAAAGCGAGAGCGAACATCAATTTTACGTTAAACTCGGCAAATCTAAAACAGAGACCTCTGAAATGATTTAGAAGGCTTACGTCAAAAACCAGTGAGGTGTGCGACGTGTTTTCAGTGGCACTCGCGCCTCAAGAATGGCAGAACGTCACTGAGGTCAGGGAGAGGTCAAATAAGGTCGTCCTGTTGCTCTTCATCTGCAAGCGATGTTCTGCCATCCCCGAAGTGCTAATGCCACTTAAAACACTTTGCAAAATTCACTGCTTTTTGACACAAGCCTGCTGAATCATTTCAAAGGTCCCTGTTTTATATTTGTTGAGTTTGATGCAAAATTGGTGTTTACTCTTGCTCTCGCTTGCAGTCTATGGTGAAATCGCCATTATGCCCATATACGTGGTCACAAAAACTAGTGTAGCAAACCTCCAAATGTTCACAGAGCGACGCCCTTTGCTATAACGAGACACAGAGGTCCCTTCCTTCGACTACTGCATGTGCATCACTGTGCTGCCCTCTCTTTTTACGCTACAAAACCAGTCTCAGAACTTTTTGATCACACCTCGTATGTATATATACTTCTTCATTGTCAAATTTGGGAGCGGTGAGAAAACTTAACGTTTGCGCGAGCACAGTGGATCCTTGATTATGCGTCCCCGGTTTACGTGACCTCCTAAATTTCACGACAATTATTTCTGGTCTTGACAAACTGCCCATTGAAATAATGTATTAAAAGTTTGGTTTTCACGATGCGTGATTTTACGCGTCCCGCGTCATACGACATTCCGGCGGGAATTGTGCGACGAATTCGACGGCTGCATGAGGAGGGGGTGGCGGCGCAGCAACAGGGAAGAGTTCTGTGCACCGTTTAGAGGGTCCAAAAACCCACTGCCGGCAACCCCAGACAGCCACAGCGCCGGTAGGGAGCAGGAGGCAGCACTCTCTCATTCCCTGCCTGGGTTGTGAAATGCCTCGGTGTTTTCGCATTGCGTCCTTGCTCCACTCATCGCATCATTCTCTCGTCTCTCATTTACCCACGCTCTCTTTTGCGCGCCACTTTCTCCAACTCGTTGCTTCTCCCAGGATTGAGCACGCTTCTGCTGGTTACTGCCGTTACCGCTTTTGGAAAGCGTAAAAGCGACAAGTATCCCATTGTCGCGATTGTGCACGTAGGCGAGCGATGTCTCAATTTGTTCCGACAATTTTCGCTTCGTCAAAGTACAGCAATTAGCTTAGACATCATTTAAAACCTCTGCTTGTCTTCTTCGCACGAGGCCGATCACTGTATCCGTAATTATAGTTTTTTTGGATGATACAACGATTTCGCGCAGTCCCGCAAAAGTCGCATAATTGGGGTGTGCTCCAGCAGTGCAAGCGGAAGAATGAACTCGACCTGCGGCACTTGGCAGCCGTAGCATTCTATCCGTTTCTGCACTTTGAGGGTGATAGTAAGGTTCCCGCACTGCACAACCCGGCGCAGAGCAGAATCTCCTTCCTGAGCCACTTGCTTCTTTTGCTGATACAGTGCAATCCACTTATAACGATATTAATGATGTCCGAAAATCTGATCGTTATAACCGATTATTGTTGTATCTAAACTGCGCCTCTAAAGGTTCGAAATATTACCCTCCTTGCTCCCCGATGCCAAAGGGTACTCACCAGCATCGAGTCGATCAGGTTGTGAAAGATGAGCCGTGAAACATTATATTTTCTACTTCTCGGAGACTTTAATAAGTACAGAATGAAATATACTACGCATGCTTAAAAAAGTCTGAGATTTCCGTTTGCTTGCACGGAAGCTTGATGATCGCGGTTTGCATCACATCGAGTTATTGTGCGGACGCTGGCGACAGTCCTGTACTATCGCGGACAATATGAGCTGAAACAGCGCTCCGGCCTGTGCACGGTACTACCTGCGCCGCCTGTCGCATCGCTGCCTGTCGCATCGCTGCCTAAACACGGCGCGCCCTGAGGCCAAGATAAATTCTCACTTGCGCTCACTGCGCCGCTGCGCTCTTCTGGCCGTCTGCTAGCGAAAATATTGGCTGTCGGAAGCAACATCACGATGCGTGTGCCGTGTAGCCCAATGTTCACGTTTTTAGCTAACATGCATTTCAGTGCATTTCAAGAAAGCGCCGAAGTCGAAAATGCGTTGTCACGCTCGTATCTCCTCGAGGAGCGCTGCTTGACGGAGCTGTCTTGGCCCCCAAAATTAGCCGATCTGAATATCATCAAAAACATTTGGAGGCTCATCAAGGCAGCCATGTCACGGCGTCCCCTCCACCGCTCCACTCCCGCAAATTGTGGAAAAGCAAGGAGGTGAATGGGAGTGGCTTCGGGCTGAGCCAGACTTTGTTGCCGCACTCTGTGATTTTTTACCAGACAGGATGGGAGCCGTGGTCGCGGGGCAGGGGAGAATGACGCCGTATTAAATTATTTTGTAAGTTTTACTGCGCCTCAAAACCCCCTGAAGCAGACTTCTGCCGATATGAACAAAGCTTGATGCTACGGTTTCAACGCACTGTTTGACGCCGTTAACCAGTGCATACGTTTCTGTGGTGCCTCCTTGATCCCGATCTTGTTGTATAGTGCAGTTGAACTTCCACGCCGACTATTAATCTTTTTTGTCTGTCATTGTCCTCTGCAAATATTCTTTCAATTACTAAGTTGCAGTCTTCTTCTCTTGGCAAATATCTGACTGTTTGTCCAACTTTATTAATACTAGGAATTTGTAAACAAAAAACTGGTGTCTTGTCAGCAACTTGTTTTGCTTGAAACAAACACGTGGGCCCAGTAATAAAAAAATAATACTTTTGACCCCTTTCATACCAATCTAGGTTACAAAACCTTTTTTTAAACATCTCTGACCAATGAAAAAGGAAAAAAAGTAAATACCTTAGAGCCAGACTAAATCCGGCATACAGATTTTGGCCTATATTTTACAATGTCCTACTTTCTGCATGCACCTATAATCAAACGAAAATAACCTACAAGGTCTTTTGATCTGACTCTCAAAAACAATAATCGCAGCTGAAATTTAAGGCACTTCAATATTTTTTCTTCACCAGTCGGCGTTTTTTTCTACAGGATTCTGCGCGATAGAGTAAAGTAAATCAATTTCAAAAGAAGGACGACAAGTATAATATTTTGTTCCCCCCAGCTGCCCTACCACACACATGCCCGCTGTCGCACCTGCCGTCTCGCTTGCAGACGGCCGGAAGAGCGCAGTGGCGCAGCGAGCGCAAGTGAGAATTTATCTCGTACTCAAGATACGCCATGTGTGGCGAAGCAAGGCGACAGGCGGCGCAGGTAGTACCGTGCACTGGTCGGAGCGCTGTTTCAGCTCATATTGTCCGCGATAGTACAAAGGGTCCCGCACTCGCTTCCGATGGTCGGCATGGCCGGCAGTCCCAGCCTTCTAGACGGCGTCAACTGCTTTGAATATGGTCGATATCGTCGACTGCGACAGCTCATATTTTTTTACAAGACTCCCCACCTTGAAACCCTGACGCGAATCTTGCAGAATTTGTTGTTTGATGTCGAGAGAAATCGCTTTACGTTTCGTTGAACCATCTTGCGCAACGCCCAAAGCAACAAAGAAAAGGCTTACAAGACGCGGCGCATACAAACGTCACGCACCTTGCTGGTTACGATGATGATGATAATGCTCCGTTTGAGACCGCACGCGGCGCCTTCTCGCGGAGCATTCGATGCGCCCGTTCGCGATGATACCGTCCGATTCCGGCAGCCAATGCCGATTTCGCCATTGTTTGCGCGGTGCATTTCTTCGCTCTCTTTTTTCTTTTCGTTTTCAGCCCAATTTTTGTAATAAAGACGTTCTAGGCGGACTAGTTTTATCGCTGTATCCGGTATACCAAGGATAATTGCATCGCTGTATCTGGGTTTTTTTTTACATGGGCGAAGTGCAAAAATTGATAGTTTCAAACAAACTGATTGTTATATGCAATATATCGTTATATGTGGTATCATTCTAAGTGGATTGCACTGTATGCACATGGAATACAGGAAAACTAAAGACTTTCTACGGTCTTAAAGGGATTAAGATAAGCATTTCTTCTGTGGCTGGATTAGAGGAACCTAGTATTGGGAAAGGTAGAACTTTACTCCGTGCAGCACCGGACTATAGCTTTTTAATGCAGAATGCATTTTCACGAAAGCAGAGCGAGTATTTGTACTATGGCGTAACCTTAGCTGGACCATGTCGCCATGAGCTAAACATAGCAGGATGCCACTATGGGTAACTCTGGTGCCACGTGGGTCATGTGACCATGCGGTATGCGTCAGGCTATATACCAGGTCACGCGTCCGACCGCAAAGTCATGGCATCGCGTGATGTTACACTACTGTGCTGCCCATACACATGTTAAATGTCACTATTGCATTCTGCTTATGAGATGTTTTGACCGTAGGCCAGAAGAGCTCCTCGATTCTCCGGTCGTGGCTCGTTGCAGGCGTGGGGGGAAGTGGCCGCACTTTGTGGTGACACTGAACGGAGTGGACCCGGCCAGTTTCAAGTCCGGCACGAGGGAGGTGGTTGCCCACCACGCCTCGGGTCCGGGAGACTTGGACGAGCTGCCGGAGTACGTAGAGGAGGAGGACGAGAATGGCTACCCTTCCCGGCGGGAAGACTCCATGGCCGCCGAGGACACAGGTGATGTGCCCTCTCATTTTCCCCAACCCCGGACTAATAGTCTTCTTGCTGCGTCCGGCAGTCCGCCAGAGAAAGTTGTGGAGCTCTCTGGGGGCGACTGGAACGAAAAACGTGGGAAGTGTTCTGTGTGACGTTGCGGCAGAATGTTTTCGTTGCCGTTTGGGTTTTCAGTCGCGGGGAGATTGACGGCGAAGTGCGTTGGTGCACCACGGCTCGGAGCATGTGGAGCGAAAGCTCGCGTTGCAAAACCCGGGGATCCTAGGCTCGATCCTCGCCTCCGCCCATTTTGATTTGGACAAGCGCCGTGCCAGTGTGCGGTTGTGCATCACTACTGCATGATGCGCGTTAAAGACCTGGGCTAGCAGTGGTACCACACTGGTTAAATTTCTCATCTGCAGGCTGACCTTATGCTGTCTAAATGCAAACGTAATTTTATAACGGAGCTGTTATGTCCGGTTTGTCGACACAAACCTGCCTGGACAGCTACCGCCATCTATAAGCGACAGCGGCAAGCACACAAGCAGTATGGTTTCCGTCGTTGCTCGTAGATGGCGGCAACCTTTCTAGCTATCATAGAAGAATTGATAGTTGGATGCGTTGGTGGGAATTCATCGTAGGACACGTAACGAGCACAGCGCTCGTTGTTTCTTCGTCCTCGTTTGTTTGGCGCGCTTTCCTACGCTCCTACGCTCTTATCACTTTCGGTTTGAACTCACGATGGGTCGGCCGCGTGCCCTTTCCGGGAAAGGAGACAGGCTGCGGAAGGAGCGGCGACGTATGCAACAGCGCAAATGGGTCCGCAACCGCCGAAAAGCCGCTGTCGCCTCAACTTCCACTCCGTCCAGCGCTTCAGATTCCTTTGCCAAAGAGCACATCGCTCGCCTGGAAAGCCGCCGCCGAGAACGGAACCAACCAGCGATGTAAAGGGCACCGGCGGGCCAACGTCACGGACGACGATCGTGCCACGGAGGCCAAGCGCATGTGCGAGGCCCGGCAACAACTGCACTTCACGCCGACTGAACAGTTCCCGGTTGCGACGGCGAGGTTCCGGAGGGAGTTCGTAGAGAACCCGTCTGGCGTCACGTGCGCCATGTGCGACCGACTCTGGTTCGTCGGAGATGTATCCACGATCGGCGGCGTGTCGGACGAGAAGAAGCGGGAATCGGGTGTGTGCGCGTTGCGCCAGTATATCGAGTACAGCTCCGCTGGTCTTCCTTCTTCACGAGAGTGGAAAGGCTGAGTGTTTTCTTGTTGTTTGTTATTGTGTTGTGGAGGTTTAAACAAAAAACATGGAGGTGGTCAAGGCTGGTGGGAGAAACTTGAGGGAGAGTTTCTCCTGGGACCTGCAGAGCAGTGGTCATTGTTTGACTAAGGGACTCCATCTACATCGAGACTATCAGGCTAACTCTCTTAGTGAGATGTCGGCCACCACTCTGATGCTCCCGGGAACTTTTTTTTATCAATTTGGGGTTGCAAAGAAAACCATAATGTAAATGGGATAACATTGTATATTAAGTTGCATGTGGTAGAAATCCCAGACTCCTTTTTGAGTTTGCGAAAATATTCAAATTTTCGAATAGTAGGTCCGAACATTATGCCATTCGATATTCGCTTTGAGACAAACTACGAAATATTAATATTTTTCTAAGCGTCAGTTGCGGCAAGTTAGCCCCATTGAGTGCGCTGGAGCACTGCGGAGAAGCAGCACCCGCAAAAGCAAGCTCTGCGGGCGTTGCTCAGTTGGGGTGTGCCAGACGCCCTCTGTTAGTTTGGCACGTAAAACATTCAAGTATGATTGGACTTGTGTGGTCACCTGGTTCCTCTGGGTTCTGTCATGCAGTGTTGGAAGAGGAACTTGAAGAAGAGCCCATGCTGGTGGAAGAAGGCCCCAGCAAGCTGCTGGAGAAGTGCCGCTACTGGCCGGCCTGCAAGAACGGAGACCGCTGCCCCTACCACCACCCCAGCGTGCCCTGCAAGTGGGTGCCCCGTCTCGCACGTCGATGCGGGATATTTAAATGTTACCACAGAGCCTACCGACGCGACACCAGCCAGCTTGGTGGCTATCCATATTACGGGTCTAAATCTTAATTCTCAGCCCTTCGATGAGGCGTGCCAGATACTCTTCGTGGGGTTGTACATAATGTAAAACTTCGGCATTTCAGTCACTGATACCAGTCTTGAGAGTGTCAGGAATTTTGTGACACTAAAACTGAAATGATCATCTTAAAAAAACATATGCAAAGGAAAACGAAAATTTTTTTTTTCAACAGCCTGAAGGAGATTTTGTTATAAAATACATTTGCTAAAAAAACAAACAAAAAAAACGAACTTTTAGAGCTTTATTTACGGCACATAACAAGTTTGTAGTTGTTGCCCGCTGGAGCTGCCACTAGTCGCATGGTAGACCTGTGCACCGCCGCCGCCACAAGTTACGCCGGAGCCATTTAGTGCCGCTGCTGAAGTCCCCAGAACCCAAACGTTGCGGAGCCCCCACGCCGTTGCCGCATGTCGAGTGTGGCATGCTGCCAGCTGAACGCGTTTCTCCACGCTGCCGCCACTACCACCGTGAATTTCTGACCAGCGCATTGGTCTATCACGTGGTGCTTGCGCTCTTTCGGGAACTTCCTATGTGCTCTAAATGTTTATTTATTAATCTTCCTTTTACAGGCGGAGCTGTTAAAGGCCGACGTACACTTCGTGCTTTCCACTTTTGCCCGCCTCCTTTTTCCCTACATCCTCTCCACTACTTGCCTTGCCACAACTTGGTTCCCCCCGCAGCCTAGGAGAGGGGAGCGCTGAGAGGATTACCGTATTTACTCGCACAATGAACGCACTCGCGTAATGAACGCACCCCCCCAAATCGGCTCTCAAAATTTCGACTTTTTTTCACTCGCGTATTAAACACACCCCCAACTCGGAGGTGAAAATTTTGACACCCTCCCCCCACGCGTGCAAAATGAACTCACTTTTTTATCTTGGTGCAGCGAGGTCGCGAATGCATGGGCAGCGTGGGCGAACAAAACGCCTTGCAAAAGGCTTTAAAGATTTAAGAGAAGCAAGAAAAGAAATATGGAGAGGAGCTTTTTTTTTTTTTGCACAGGGCTGTCTGGATTTTGGGGTCGCGGGGCCGCGCAAGGAGATAAGAAAGATAAGAGGAGAACCTTTCGCCTAAGCAACGCCTAAGCAAACGAAACAGCTTGCGAAAGGTGGCAAAAAAAACAAAAAAACAACATAACTAAAAAAAAAAGTTTTTTTTTTTTTTTTTGCTTTTTTTTTGCACAGTGCGGTTTGGTTATGGGGTCGCACGCTGGGCCCAAAGAGATAAGCAGCTGCGTCGATTTTTCAGGATAAAAGGTCCCTTCATTATGCGAGTAAATACGGAGGCAAAAATTTAAATTTTACTTTGCCTAATGAACCAACTTTGCATCGAACCCCAACTTTGCTTTGATTTTTCGGAAAAAAAATTTTGTTCATTTTGCGAGTAAATACGGTATCTTCCCTACAGAAAACCAAGGTTGGTACATCGGCCTTTAAGGGCTAATTTCCCCAGGATCGTGTCCCCCGCAAAGAAATGTCTGCACAAAACTTTGGTTGCTGCCGTCGCTCATAGATGGCGGTAGCTGTCCAGAGTGTTGTGTTTGCCGGTTGTCCGCTTGCCGCCACCGCTCTAGAGGGCGCAACCTTTGGAGCCTTTCCACTCTGGCTTGGCGACTTGCGGCCGGATATTACTTCATTCCCAGCATAGTACAGCTTCGATGGTCTTCCTTCTTCACCAGAGTGAAAAGGATAAAAGTTTTTTGTTGCACTTGAAACAGTAAGATTAATAAGTAACTTTTAGAGCCCATAGAAAGCTCCCGAAAAAGCACAAGCACCACGTGACTATAGCAGCCAGTCACGTGACTACAGCTTCCAGCTTTCCGCGGGCTCTCGCAGGCGCCAACTACAAATTTGTTTCACGCCGTAAATATAGCTATAAAATTTTTTTTTTTTTTTTCTTTTCGTTGTAAATTTATTTTATGACATCCTTTTTCCATCTAGGCTTTTTAAAGAATTGTTTTTTTTCCCTTTGCATAGGTCCTTTAACAGGCGGATTTACTTGAACCATGAGCGTTCGTTAAATATTTTAAACCTTCATTACCTCTAAAAGAAGGCTGACACGAGATTTTTTTTTTTTTTTACACAAATGTCTTCATGGTTTTATTTATTATTCCGAACTAACCTCTTTTGTTTTTATTGCCGTGCCCAACAGGGCGCTATGCTGTTGTTGGCTGCTCCGAGTCAAAAAGCCTACGGTCCTTAGGACATATTCAGTACGCTTTTAACACTCCAACAAAGTGAACATGCCAGAGATGGATATTTTTTTGCCTGGAAGTTTTAGGATGCGAGTTTTGCTCAAGGTATATTGGTAGTATTTTTCCTTCATTTCTGTTTATCAAACCATACAGGTATGGGGACAACCTTGGTTTCTGCGCTTAGGTTTTGCACTGTCGGAGGTCGCATTTTGCTGATTTTACATATGTAAATACATAATATTTTTTCAAGGCACAAGGTACAAGGCACCTCAAAAGTACCAAATAATTAAATTAACATACAAGGCTATCAGGTAATGAATTCTGTGCAAATTCATTGTTTGTTGAAAAAACACAAAGCTTAGTTGTTATTTCATACTTAATGAGCTTTTCTTCTTTTTAATCTAGACTTCCCACACATAGTTGCTAAAGTGCTAAATCAGTGCAAACTCTTATCTTGCAAAAAGCTACTGCAATCATATTAATTTTTTTTTCCGGAGACGCAGACCTACCACACTGTTAACAGGGTTGTATCAGGGCTTCCAGCCCTGCACGACTTGCGCCAAGATTTTCCTGTGCCATCCTAATAAAAATTCGCAAAAATGCCCGAAATTGTGCCAAACCACTCCAAAATCGGGTGATGGGAATTTGGCGGCGTCTAGCGCCACCTATCCTAGTCAAGGTGAACTTCACTGCAGGTCTGAATGAAAAGCTACAAAAACTTTAAAGAGCAGGCTTTTGATAATTTCATGGTGTTTGAAATAAACCAGGTGATATATGTTAGATGAACAGTTGGTAAACTATTTGTGTTTTTAATAAACTAGATGTAATAAGTTAAATGAGCCGGTTTGTCATCCATTTTATTGGGAAGAACGTGCCCCCTAGTTCCTCGCAAACGTTTTCTGAAAGGTGTTGATTTTTTTTATTTTCAATGTCTCTGCGACCAATATATCATCCTTGTGTGAAAATTTGCTAATGTAACGTTTAACAGCATAAAAAATTGTCAATCTAAACTTGGTACAGAAGTGCTCGAAAGTGTTTCGGAAAATTATATTTAGGTGCTCCAGAGTGCTACAAAATTCACATTTAGGTGCTCCAAACTTTTCCAAAATGAATATATTGGTGCTCCAAACTGCTCCCAAAATGAATATTTGGGTGCTCCAAAAATTGCTCCAAATCTGGTCTCGGCAGTAGCACCACTGGTTGTATTCACTTTCTTTTTTTATTTGCATGTCAGGTGACTGCAGGATTGTCTCTTTATCGAATATAACGGTGTATGATAACTGGCACGTTTAAATCTACACTTTTGCGTTCGATGTTGACGGTATAATGCAATTTTCAACTCTATTTGCACAAGAGCGGGATGTTAGGTACTTCCTGCTCTATGGAGCAGACGATGCACCGAGATGAAAGGGAATTTTCTTCTCTGCTCTTTTGAGGGGAATGATCTAGAGTGAAGTCAATATTTTTACAGCAAAGTCTTCACTGCATCAGTGGCTTTGCTCTACCAGTTTTACAAGCAGGCTTCAACTTTGCTTCATCGTTTGGATACCTTCACTCTATCAGTCTCTGCTCCAACTGCCAGGCTTGACTTTGATGGCAAGCCGAGCTTGGTTATTGCGATGCCTGGTGGCCACTGTGCCACTCAGCGGCCATGCTTCTTCCCCCTGTCAGGGCCTTCCCCAACTGCAAGTTCCGTGACAAGTGCCTGTTCATCCACCCCAACTGCAAGTATGACGCCTTCTGCAAGCACAAGAGCTGCCCCTTCACCCACGCCAGCAGGAGGACGTTCGCCTGCCCACCCCCCCGTGAGTACAGTACTCACTCGTCCCTCGCAGTGGGACTCTAGGTTTTGCGACGGCATGGGGAGCTTTCTGCTTTGCGTGTGGCGGCTACGGACTCTGCTCGAAGATGGGTGGACCCCGTTGTAAGCTGACCCCTGGACGTCTGCTCTACTGCATAATTTGTTGAGCACCAGTTGTGATTTCTGAGAGGATCTAGACCGAATCACGTGCGATCTGCTGGAAACTGTCTTTTAATAAGGCGATGGTTGGTGTAGGCGGCGAGGAGCCTCGTAAGTGGCAGGATCACCATCTTTTTGTGGTTGGTGAAAACAGTGGTTTAGAACCCAGAGTTGCTAAAACTATTTTTTATGAAATGAAAACAACCACCGTTTTCTAAAATGTAGTTTGATGAAGCGTAGTAGTCCTGGGCATCGTCAGCCTGCACAATACTTTTGGTGCATTGTGCCATCCTGTGCAGGTAAGGTGCAGGAAATATATACCGTGCTTGCACGATTCTGACGCACACTTTTTTTCACCAAAATCGGTGCCCAAAACTACATGCACGTTACAATCGAAACCACTAACCTAAACTCGAGAAAAACGCAATACTCTGTATATAAGGTGGCTATCGCCATCGCCATTATGACTGTTTGTTTACATTTGCCATTTTGGTATTCATATCACGCGCATTCTCTCACGTTATATGGACTCGTGTCTGCCGTTTTAAGATGGAAAAACAAAAATTCCACTGGGAGGCTTTATTTAAATGAAAGGCCATCACGCTGGTGGAAAAAGATAAGAACGGAGCAGCGCTGCGTGGCCTCACAATCCCAGCAACCCGACGAGCTCTTAAAGTGTTCTTCGGAATACGACCCTCCCAGACGCGACGGTCACGCACCCGTACATGCCCAAGAAGTGCGACACTTAAAATGCTTTAGGCGAAAGCAAGGATTACCTCTGTGGACAGCGAAGAACCATTGTCAGACTCTGACAATGCAAATGGCATTTATTTTTGTGTTGGCGTTCATTTTATAAAATCTGTTCTATGAGGTATGTGTTCAATCTTCATTATTTACCCGCACGGTAGAATCGGCAGCAATTCCCTTTTTGAATATCTGGAAGCTAAATCTGCCTGCACGTTTGAATTAGGGGCGCGTCAGAATGCAAACATGGTAGTCACACATGCATGGGAACAGTGTCACATTGCTGAAAATTAACTTTTTTTTCTTGATCTATAAGTCACATGCAACATATGTTCTGATTAGTAGAGTCAAAAAGTGCAGATTTATTCAGTTACAGCAATCAAAATTCCATATCTGAATTGTTTGTAAGCAGGTTCTGAAAAGGCTTTTCCTGTTTTCTCAAAGTTAACTTTTTGGTCTTAGCACAGAGTTTTGTGCATGGTATCTTTAGATCTAGTATATGGATCTGAATACTTTCTTCGGCGTAAGATTCCTCACAAGTCAGAGTGTAACAGGTCTAAAATGTTGGGAAATGGTAGGTACAAGATTTCCTAATTGGCGAAAATTGTATCGGCTCGTTTCTAATTTTCAAGATTTTTGGCTTGCAACTTTTCCTAGAATGCTGCTAAAATGATAAGCATTTTTTTTTTTGCACTACAGTGCAACCCACTTATAACGAGGATGAGAAAACCCAAAATTTCAATCGTTATAATCGATTATCGTTGTATTTGAACTAGAAACTGATTATTTCGTCTAGAAATTCTAGAAACTGATCGTTATAAGCGGTACGTCGTTATGTGTGGTATAGTTATAAGTGGATTGTGCTGTATCTACTCTTTGTAGAACATGCAAACATATTTTGTGCCATAGTTTTTGATGGGGGTGTTGTAAAAAAGTTGGATGGAAACATATGTGATAAAGTAGAGATTTTCTTCAAAACTATAATAGGGGAACAATTGACCTTGGTTTCTGCATAGCACAGCAAATTAAAGTAGGCGTGGGAATTTAACATAAATTAAATTGGAAATGACATAAAAGTGTTCAAGACCGAGGTCTCCCCTCAAATACGGAATCTATTATATTTATTCATTCACATATTCACCTAGGTAGATCACCATTTGTGGTAGTTGCAATACTTAAGTTCAGGGGTGGTTTTTGCCTCAAATGAATGGGAAGGCCGAGTTGCACTGCATTGCCGAGCTGCAGGGGAAACCGTCTTTCTTGCTGTGGGCTGGGAGCTTGCTCCGCCAGTCTGGCACTGTAAAACTACAAGTGCATTAGTACATATCTATGTGTGGCAAAAGAGGTGCTACACACATAGTACTTGCATTGTCTATATGAAACTTGAGAAGTTCTGAGAGGATGTTTTTGTTTTTGTTCCCCAGCAACATCATCTCCATCTGTCCAACACTGCAAGTTCTACCCTCACTGCACCAACACAAAGTGTCCCTTCTTCCACCCCAAGGTACGCCTGCTCTGAGGGCCCCAGCAGCTGTTCAGTCACTCCGCAGCGACAAAAGGGTGCGATCAGCACACACATGGCAGTCAGGCTTATGCATTCAGATTACAAAATTTAGCCTTCTTGGTGCGAACCCCGAAACCACCTTCATTTTGTGAAAAATCTGGGATATTTGTTGATTCAGCGTGAATTCTGAACATCTTCCATGCTTCAAAATTGATAAGCAAACTTGCAACTTCTCATAATTCGCATTGTGTACGGCCTGGGTACACATACGGTGTAATGCGAGACAGTAATGAAAAAGCGACTTGGCTAGCTGTCGTTTCCTCAGTGAGCACAGAGAGTTGAGACCTTGCAGTCTTTTGTTGGACCATGCTCACACTTTTCCCCGGGAATCTCGGAGCAATGGGCATACCTCAGGTTGTAGTTCGAGGGAGTGAAATTCCTGGAAAGCTTTCGATAAAAATCATGAGCCATTCCAGTCTGTGAAGGTAGATGACCAGCGAAGCTGTTCACCACCACAACACAGACCCCCCTGAGGAGCCGGAGGAAACCAGACGCTTGACGGGACCGCCACCCGGCAGAAAGTAGACTTACGCGGTGGGACCGCCACCCCGGGAGAGCGAAGGAAAGGAAACTAGGCACGCAAGTGCTTGGAACAACGACAAAGAGAGGGCAGTGCGAACATAGACATGACCGACACAGGTCGCATAGTGGCAAATCTTTGAGAAACTTTTCTTATCTACCTGAGAGTCTACTGATCTTGAGAATGGTACCTACTGATAACTAATCTACTGAATAGACCTACCGCTGAATTACCCAAGCATCAAGGAGAATGCAGGGAATGGTGTTGCATGCCCCGCACGTGCCGGCGTCTGCGATAGTAACCGTTTTAAAGCAAAAGCCTAAAACAAATGGCATCTCACACATGCGTCCATCAATGCTTTATTTTGGTTATTAATGCAAAAGCATTAACTGTCTCGTGGAGCGAGCCGCACCAAACGGCACCTTAGCTCCTTTCTCCAAGTGAAGCCAGCTCCCAGCTATGAAACCATGTGAAAAGCTAGCCAACGGCACCTAAATTCCCCGATCCCAAAGCTGATAGATTTTCGTCTTCAGTCCCAATGGCTGGCGCGCGTCGACGGAGCTCCCATTGGCCGATGCGCGTCAGTTTCATTGATTGCTCACACATGGCGCTGCGTGTCCGTCAGCGCGCCGTTAAGGTGGGACACTACCCAAAAAAGTTAATTTTTGAACCACTTGTCTGATTTAAATGACATTTACAGGGCGTGTTTCTGTTGATGTTGAGAACATTTGTGCCAAATGTTGGTAACCTGGGTGAAGTACAAAAAAAAATTGCAAATGTTTAAAGATGAAAGTGGGCATGTCTACGTAGAAAAACTATTGTTTTAAAATTACCTATAAATTTGTTGTTTTCGTGTGTTGTATTGCTTTAGGACAGTTCAGAGCAGATAGCTATGGAGCTATATTTCTATATTATACCATATTTCATGACCAAAAAGCCACATAAACTCAAATGCTGTTTTTTAGATTTCCATTCCTTGTCCAAAATTTAATTCTGGAGCATCAAAAATGACAAAAATAAAAAAATACAAGCTCACAGCTATCTTCCCCTTAAAATTTCACTCTAGAAAAACTCATAAAAATGAATCCAAGTTCTGTTTTAACAAAACGATAGTTTTCCTAAAGTGAAATTTATGCCAAGAAGTGGAACAGAGAAAAATGCGTTCAAAGTGTTCCAACCCCTGCCTTTTCTTTAGCATCGGTGGACCGAAAATAATTTATAAGAACTTAACTATGCAGTGTAAGTTGATTAAACTTTCTGGAAATACTCTCTAGGTGTTGGTGGATGTAAATATGACATTTTTCAAAAATCAACTTTTTTTGCAGAACTTGTTTTTTCTGGGTAGTGTCCCCCTTTAACACGGAGCGTCCAAAGTCAGTGCGCCCAGGAGAGCGCACACGCTGACGTGCGATGAAAAGTATGCAGCTGACGAAGTAAGAAAGCAGACGAGCGGCTCGCATGCTTTCGCATTCACAACTCATAAGAAATGCTTAGGTGTACCTCGAGCCTTTTTTACTTCGAATTTTTTATGCGAGGAAGGCGTGCACGTGCGGTGCGGACGTCTGCAGCACTAACTGTTCTAGAGCAAAAGCCTAAAACAAATGACGTCTCGCACGCTCGTTCATAAACTCTTTATTTTGGTTATTTATTTTGAATCTTTTATACAGGGAAGGTGTGCGCGTGTGGTGCGTGCGGCGGTGTGAGCGCAGGGTTTTTAGTCACTGCACACAAAAAATCTACAGAACCCTAGTGCTCTAGTACAGCCCTGCAATGTTTTCTAAACGTGCCTTCCACGCCTCTCAGCCATGCAGATTTGGCGCCATGTGCCAAGCACCGGCGTGTCCTTACACCCACCCGGAGAGTAGCATCCCACCACCCAACAAGTTGAAGTGGACTTCGGCTGCGGCTAAGAAGGCCGGGTGAGCATAATAGCAGCGCCGGTCCTCACTCATTCTGGAATAGAGATGTTCAGATAATGATTTTGAGGGTTGCACATCAACGAAGTTGTTATCTTATTTACAGTAGTAGAAGCTTATTGATGCAATACCATTGATTTGTTTTCTCATTTAAGTTTACAGTTTACAGCTCCCGATGCTCACAATACTTTGAGGCAATGCTACGTGTTTAACAGAGCTGGAGGATAGCTGGAGTTCAAACTTTTACTCCTTCAGAGAAAAATGCAGTAGGCTCGCGATAATTCAAACTCTGATATTTCATATTTGTTATGTTCAATGTTATGTTGTCAGGGAACATACATAAATTGAGGCAATATTATATTTGCCGCAAATACATGGAAGAAGGGCACGCGGTGCCCCTGTCTCCGGGGCCGCTTCAAGCGTCCAGTGCTCACGAGCGCCAATCCCCCGAGGAGCTTGTTCCGAGGAGCACGTTCTGGGTGCTGGAAGCAGGCGGATGAAGTGGATGCTATTCCTGCATCATAAGGCGAAAACAACCTTTGAACGTAACTTGAGCTGCACCAGCTGTGTGCATCACAGCGCTCCTCTGTTCTCTGTGTTCTTGGGATGCACATGCATAACCCAAGGCGTGCGTAACCAGAGCCACTCGTCTGCTCTCCACGTTCCTGGGATGCGTGTTGGTGTCACACAGACGCATCACTCAAAGACACAACAATACATCTGGTTAATTCGGACAAATTTCAAAATTTTGGTTGTTCCGCTATGCTTTTAACGTATTCATAAGCCGCTTAATTCGAACGGCGTTTTTGTGTACTGTAATTTGTACTTTTAGTTCTCGGGGCCCCGTTGAGTGCGCTTCTTTCCGAGCACCGGTGCACTGCAGAGAGGCAACACCTGCGGAGCTTGCTTCCGCAGGTATTGCTTCTCCACAATGCATTGGTGCTCAGTGAGAAGCGCACTTAACGGGGCTCAAGCAGAGCAAACAAGCTATAGAAACGGGTACCCTGCAGAAATTTCCATAGCAACTTGCACGGATGCCATGAATAGGTTTGTTTGGCATAGATCTTTGTCACAGCGTCCGCACAAGTTGCTATGAAAACTGCCGTGCGGCGCCTGTTTCCATTGTTCATGTGTCCCCTGGTTAATAGTTCACATTAGGCAACTTCTTGGCTTAATGAAGAATCTTAATTTTGTTTTGAGTTATCATGTGCTCTCTAAACAGTCCACGATAAACAACATTTTTGAGCGATACATAAACTTATGTCATACATTTCACAAATGTTTCTTGTGTGGCATATTCACTTATGATCAGTAGGCCTATGTAGAGGAAATCATCAAACTGCTTTGTATTTGTAGCCATTCATATTGTAAATTATAGTTCTATTCTGCATCATATTTAGATGAATTTCTAATAATTCAAACAGAAATCATGGCTTCTTGGAGTTTGAAGTAATGAGTATACCTGTAAATCTTAGCAGTGGCACAAACAGACACATAACAATTATTTTTTTAAGATATGTGCCTATTCTCCATCATGCCTGGAATGAGTATAGCTCCTTGGTGTGATGCTACCTCTGCAAGTGTCGCATTGCAACAGTGCAGCTGTGCACGAGGTGTCAAATTAAGTACAATAATAGTCATTATTGCGATTATTATACTTAACACATCTTAATACTAGTCAGTCTACATCTGCAGCATGTCCCAATTGAGCTGCGATGCCAAAATCTAAGCAAGACCGACAGAACTGCGCAGAAACAGCTCATGTCACACAGGTGCTGCATTGTGTGATGACTCACATTCACTTTTTTTTTGTGCTCTACTCTTTTAACGAAGAGGCTCGTACAACGAAAATTATTGCCAATCCCACGGAGTTTGTTATAAAGGCGTTTGGCCGTGTTGACGCACTTCTAGACACTACAAACTATTTTGCCCGTCTCAAATTTTCAGCCGTTGCTGGTGATACTAACATACATTCCCTGTTCTGTTCACAGTGAGACAGCTGCTTGAACTGCATACACGCCTCTTTCAAAGTCATTCGGTAAGCCGTCTGCCAAATTTGCAAACTCACATTTTTTTTAAATAGCACAAAGTTACAAAGTTGCTCATCGTTTTCGTTTTATCTCTGCCATTCTTGCAGGGCGAGAGTTCTTGGAGCAGGCAAAGAAAGTGCTCATCACGAGTTTACAGTTTCTCCTTCTTTTAGGAGTGTAAATACAGACTCTTGCGACACAACCGACTTCCTCCTTGGTTCCTTCACTCTGACAAAACGCCACCGCAAAGAGTTTCACAACTCGACGGCCCTGCTTTCAATATGGCCTATGCACAGCCTTTGAAACTTTTGACAAACCCTACTGCAGAAGTTGATGTCTACACTCTGTTTCATCTTACGATACTCCGACGCAACAAGCCATCGGAGCCGTGTGGGTGTCGCATGGCCTTTAGGCGAGGTGAAACGATGCATAGTCACGCGATAAGTTTGCAGCATCTGCTGCTGTCTGTCGCAAGGTGAAACGGACCATAGCAACTGGTGAACAAAATTACAGGGCCTTCGGCACATGACTGCTTGCAAGCAAGTGCTCCACGTCGCTAGCAGATGGGCCAAATCGGCTAAAGTTTGGGTTCGGCAAGACGACTAGTCAAATTGGACGGAAGGTCCGGTGTTGGCTGAATCGTACGAGGAAGGTTTGGCACAGAATAGCTGAAATTTCCCCAAGACATCTAGGCACGCATGAATGGAGCCATTGGCATGCATTCGGAGCACGACCGAAGCCTGCAACAAGTACTGCAGTGCCAGGACTCCAGCTAGGGCATCATTTTCCGGGAGAAGCACAAGTAGAGTTGTTGCTTTTATCCCCACTCTACAATTCCTATATGTATAAAAATAGACCCAATAATTAATCTACTAAAAGGACGGCATACAAAGTAGAAATGCGATTGTGCTACGTTAGTAAACTACCGTAATATCCCAAGAGGTGCCCCACCCTCGAAAGATAACCCGCCCCCCATTTTTGGCCTGATTTACTATTTTCTCTTAAACACCGGAAGATAGTCCAGTCCTAGTGATCATAGTGTTCGGATCAACTATGATCTCGGCTTAAATGAAGCTAGTCGGCGATGGCGGATATAAGTGAACATTGCTGACTGGGAAGCACAGTCATCTTTGCTTCATTGTCTCTCGCTGTGATAACAAGTTTGGCAGGAAAACAGAATCTAAAAATAGTTTTTTTTTGTTTTTGTTTTTTTTACTTTTTTTTTATTGTACATTGAAGGTTAGCCGACTTCTTCGTTTCACCCAAGTTGCTCTCGAATTTAGATGGGCTATCTCTAGGGACACTATAGTACACTTACTCAAACATTTGTGATGTGTATCTCTCCTTGATCTCTCCGGCATCGTACATAGTATGCAAACAATTTCATAAACTTCTTGGCCATATGATTAACTGCTGCTGTGCAAAGATGTGGGCAGGCAAGAAACATCCGTCTGCACCAAAATTAATGCCACAGACAAAATATGGATAGCCACAGACAAAATGTGGATAGCTACAGAATTATATGTTCTCTCAAGGGTTTCCTTCAATCAAGTACACTAGTATGCGATGCTTTTACGTCGCTCCCCGGTGAGTCTCTCCCAGCATGCCTTCTTGTGTAAACTTTGAATTGCTTGCCCAGTCTGTGATTCACGATCTTGCCACCAATCTACCCATGGGTGGATTGGTGGCAAGGGCAATTGATGGGTTTGCCGCAACCCCGAAGCCCCCTAACTCCCTTCACCCCAAGATCAACTTTTTTTTTTTTTTTATCGAAAAAAATGACATACTATAACAGCTTTTCTTAGGAAGAAATGTTTAGTTTATGGTGACATGGCTATTATTAGGGTCAACAAAATAGGTCTGGACAACACTTTGCCCGTGATGTTAACTCTCTGCAACAGCCCCTCCCAAAACGCGACTTATAAATCCGCCCTTGAATGCACCTGGGACAGAAAGATGTCTCAGATTTATGAAAGCATGGTTAAAGGGAAGATGGGGCACTTCTACATTTGAGAAAAAACGCTTAAATTGCGTTCATTTGGCCTTTAGAATAACAGATATCAAAATTATATTTCAATGCGATGCGCCGGAGAGCCATACGAGCAATTTCAAAATAGGACTGAAGCCCCGCCTCCCTAGCCTTGGGCAGCCAAAAGAGCCGTCGATGACGTCACGGACAGCGACAGTCTTTCGCGTTTTCCTCGCGTTTAACGATACTTACGCAGAAAATGGTTTGGGTATTCGGGTTCACGGGGTAAAAATACACTAGAATTCACTTCTAACTCATTTTTCCCAAGAAGCTCCGTAGCTTCCCTTTAAACCCATGATTCCATAAATTTGAGTACCAAGCAGACACTATTTGATAGCACTGATTTGAGGCTATACACCATTCTGAAACAAATGAAGCAGTGAATCTCGTACTGCAACTCCGACAGGTGATCCGCACTTGTAAATAATGCGAGACAAGGAAAAAAATCTTTTTTATTGGAGCTGTCATGGGCATTTTGTCTCATTTCATGCCCACAACGTTGGATGAGTGTGGCAAAATTGGACCTTAAGAAAAAAACACAAATCATTAAATGCTTGGCGGGAGGCTGCAGCATGAATGTGTCGAGCCAAGTGGAAGATTCTCCGAATGGGACATCTTGTGACCACAAAGTCCCACTCGTGACCTTGTGCTCAGTAAAACTACCGTAAAATCCTGTGGATGCCCACCCGAAATGAAGAGAAATGAAAAACATGGGGTGGGCTAGTTTTGGGGATGCGACGGCAAAATCCGCCACAAACCATGCGAAACGGGAACCGATATCACGGATACGGCAAATTCGAGTGTCATGCAAACGAGCGGCAATTTGCTACGACCTCCTGTGCCACGGAATTTGGACGCAGTGGATTTGCTTTACACAATGCGAAAGACGCGCGAGAGCCTGCCGCAAACTCTCATGTCATGGGAACCGACACTGCGAATTGCGGATGCAGCAGATTTGCGTTTCGTGGTGCAATAAAAGTGCGGGGACAATTCGCATGTCATGGGAACCGGTATCGCATGCGCAGATCGTGGACAAAAAATGAGAACCCACTACCACAGATTGTGGACGCAACAAACTTGCCTTTCACGATGCAAGAAACGCGCATGATCAACTCGTCTGCCACGTGAACCATTATCGCGTGCACAGATCGCAGACAAGAACGTGTGAACCTGCTACAAAATCCCTCGTCACACGTACGGGTACCGCAGGTCGCGAGTCGGATGGGATTTCCGTCAGACGTGTGGTGTCTGATGGGAATCTGGGTAGACAATGTTTCGGAATTTTTATGTTAGAGATATTTAGCCAGAAAAACAGGATGGGCGATCTCTAGGGGGGGGGGGGGGGGCACTTTTTTGGGATTTTACGGTAGATAAAGCGCGAAACACATGCACGACGAAACCGTCCGATCCAACGTCCGACCGCGCAATACGACGGTCGGAGGCGAGGGTTTTCAACGCTCTCCGATGCTACGAAAACCCTCTCCCCCCAAGGTCATTCCGGCAGTCCGCACGTCGGATCGGACGGTTTCGTCGTACATGTGTTTCGCACTTAAAAGCCAGAGTTTTACCTAGATTTTTTTTTTTTTTTAGACTCTTTAAAAATACAGCTTAGAAAACATTAAAAAGACCCTAACAGTATCAGATAGCATCAATGTGTTGGATGGAGCAAACCTGAGGCTGCTTGTGTGGGGTATTTCAGTGGCGTACCAACTTGTTTTTGAGTGGGGCGCAAACCAGACATCCCCCTCCCGGGTCGCATATTTTTACTAGTGATGGGCCGAACTTTTGCGAAATCGAAAATTCGGCGCAACTTTTGCCGGACTTTTCTAAAAGATTTGCCAATGATTTGGCAAAAATGCACTGTTACCAGACTTAACACTGATATTTATTTTTTCTGACGAAAAAAGTTTTTTTTTTTCTTCTTAACATAAATACAACATGTAGTGCCTATCGACACCGTTATGACTAAGTAAGGTGATATTCTACAAGTTCATTGATGTCGCTTTTGTGTGTTTACTGGCAATTTTAGTGTTTGCTTGCAGAAAGGGGCGTGACAACGCGCTTGGGTAGTAGCCGGCGCAGTCACGAATCACGCTACGAGAGTTGATTTTGAGGCTTCATCAGCGCACGCCTGCAAGTATGTTTACATTGTTAAAATAAAGGCAATCACTGCATTCTTACTTTCTCTAGGAGTCCCCATTTCGTGCACGAAAACGAATGCAACAGTTCCTGAGCCTTCACCAGAAGAGATAACAATATTGTAAATATGCATGTTTTTCGATTTGAGTCACTTGACGTCAGCTTTGCATAAAAGTGTGCGTTTCATATTCGCAACGTGTCGTTTTTAACGTTTAAAATTCCGGTTTCTTGTGTTAGGACGCACACGGATGTTTAGGAAGGAGGGGAGAGTGAGGAATGTCGGATGTGCAACATCGAGCATGATAGTTCTGTGTTTAGTTTCATGCAGATACATGAAAATCGCGAAATAACGCAAACTAAAAAGCAATATTATTCTGTTTTGTCACAAACTACTTGCGAGCCGAAAACAGGATTGTTATAATAATAATAATTTTATTTGCACGTGCTGGAAGGGGCCCATGTGGTGGCGTGCGGGGCTAGGTAGACAGGTGAAAACCCTTACGCAGAGTGCCTGCCAGCCAGACTTGTACGCAGTTCAACTACTTTACTCAAGTTACTAAAGTTTAACTACTTTTCTGGGTAGTCTAGTAACGTTCAATTAAATTTCTATTTTGGTAATTAGTAGTTATTTACTTTTCCGAGTGACTTCTACTCAAATTACAAATTACTTTCGAATTTTAGTGGTTGTTTTGCCTATCGACAGAGATAAGATGTTAGAAGATCAGCTGATATTTGCAAAGGGGGAAGCATATGGCATAGAAAAAGGGGGGGGGGGGGGGGGGGGAAGGAAGAAAGCAATTTGGATAATCCAAAATCCCCAAAAATTTTAACGAGCCCCCCACAGCAACAACACTGCTATGAAGCGCGGGGAGCGAACAGACACGACGCAAGAGAGGCCGAGTAACTGTCGAAGACTGGCGTTTCTTTGCATCCCGAAGCTCAAGGAGACTTGACGCATTTGAAGAAAGGGCTTGCCCCTTTCTTCAAATTCTTGCCCACTTCAGGAGGTATACACACTACATTCTCACTCAAAAGAGGTAACAAAGTGCAGCACCCACTCTGAAGTTGATCTGGTGCTCCTGTATAGCTTGTGCTGTCTTTCGAGACCTTATCTGGTAATTTCTCTGAGTGAAGAAATGGTGGCTATAAGACCGATACAAATAAGTGCCTAATAAGTGCATTGTGTTGAATAAAGCAATTTCTCTATGGCGTGTTAATTGCCGCTATTTCCAAAAAAAAAAAAAAAATGATGCTTTTTCAATTTTGCCTTAAGCTATGCATACCGGCCTGTTAAAAAAAAATAAATAAAAACGCTGTATAGGCAATGAAAGGGCATTCTGAAAAAGTGTGTTAAAAAGTACTTCTACTTTACTTTGGAAGTACATTGTATTTATAGTACTTCAAGTACATTGCACCAGGTGTACTTACTACATTACTTGAAGTACATAGCCTATCATTTATTTTGTAGTTCCAAGTAGTTTTTAGACATACTTTATGCAACACTGTAAGCGATCAATCACTGTCTGCAAAATCAAGCTCAGGCAGTGCTAAACCTCAAAGGTGAAATGATACATCCGCAGTACATCCTTGACCAAAAAGAATTACACAACAGTTAGGCATGCAGAAGCAGAACCAGCTGTTAAAGCATTTCTGTGGAAACACAAGCCACTTTATATTCTGCTAGCAGAATTTCGCTAACGCATCAAAACCTATGTAAGTACTTCCTTGTTAGCATAGAAAAAAATAAAAGCAACTTCAAAAGTAATTTGCTCTTTTTTTACGGTAATCAGTAATTTATTTAATTACTTTCCATTTCAGTAATTTCTACTCAAATTACTTTTGAGGCTAATACTCAGTAACTTGACTTAATTACTTTTTTCTGAGTAGCTTGTGCATGTCTGCTGCCAGCCCGCCACCACATATGAAAAACAAAACGGACAAATGTACAGAATACACACACTACAGAAAACGCGTAAAAAGGAAAGAAAAGAAGGGAGAAAACCTGCACATCATGACGAGGATGCCAGCTACATCTCATACATTCTGGCAAGCTCTCATGACTCTGCCCCGTTTGACGGCAGTGGGCTGCGAACACCCGAGCGTAATTGTTAATGTTTTAACTGCCTCGTTTCATCAATGGAAAGGTCAAATGAAAATCACGTTATCCAGAATGCACCGCATCATTTGTCACTTGCGCAGTGGATGGCATAAATTACTGGTCGATCTTCTGTTCTTGAGGCAGAGAATATTCAACAGAACCACACTCGCAAAACCTCACAAACGCACAGTTACCGTGTCACCTACTGCACACCTCGCCGTAACCGCTGGTTGTACTAAACTGTTGATGGTAACCGCGCAACTGCGCGGCGTCCATTTGCAATCCATGGCCCCGTCGCGTCCGTGCGCGTGCGCAGACAGTTGCCAAATTTTTGCCGAACTTTCTTTCAAAATTTTGGCATGTACAAAACTTTGCCGAATCTGAAGTTCGGCAGATTCGGTTCATCACTAACTTTTAAGGCGTGTGTGCGTGTAGGTGTTGTAAAAGAGGAGGGGGGGGGGGAGAGTGCCTGTTGGTGTATGCGCACCAGGCGCTTTGGTCAATGGCTCCTTTTACCGCGCAGGCGATAGACCCCTTAGCAACGATGCTCACGCCGGATTGGCTGCTCGGCAACGTGCGGGAACTTAAATTTCGGATTTGGTCGGCGCGTGTATCACTCGAAGCGCAGTGATGGAAGTGCCATTTGACCTTTTGGAGCAGGCCTTGTAGCAGGCAAAATGTTGTTTTGGAGCAGGTCGTGGCCCTTTTGGAGCAGGGTCCGGCATATGTTGGCATATTACTTGAAAATGAAATTCTACAATGCCAAGAGTTAGTACAGTGGAATCTTGTTAATTCAAGCCCGAAAGGGACCAAAACTTGGTTTGAATAATGCAAAGTTTGAATTACCGGGAGTTTCCATCCTAGAAACACATAGGACGGGACCTGCATGTTAGTTTGAATTATCCGCAAGTTTGAAGTAAGAGGGTTTGAATTAACGCGATTCATTTGTAGTAGCAACGGGGCAAGAGAGGAATAGTTTCTTTCACCTCGGGCAGATGGGGCCATTAAAACTGAATATAGTACAACTTTGTCAAAGATACGAGGATTTGACGCATTTAATCATGTTGAAACGACAATATTTATAAAATATAGCACTAGATTGAGCACATATTGGCATATCTGGCCAACTTATTACAATGCACCCAAGTGTGCATCAAGCCTTAGTTCCCGCAGCTGCAAATCTCGAAATATTCCTGTTCTTTGCTTTGCTATTACGCAACGAAATAGAGATATTTTAAAAGAGTAAATGGTTCCTGAATCCCTTCTGGCAAGATAAATAGTCTAAAAATTAAAAATTGCAAATTCCTTCAAAGTTAAAATTGTTGCACTGCCCCTTTAATTTGTGAAAATGGAGCGTGCTGGTAAACTTACATAATTAGAGGAGAACTGCATAAATGACAAGGACCTGTTGTCCTGTCCTCGTCATTTATGTAATTCTCCTCTAACACCGCCCCTTTAATTCTCAACTATTTTCACAACAAAATTGTAGAAAAAGATCCCTGTAAGCATTAAAACCGGACCTGTAGCATCAATATCTTGGACGGGCCAAATGCGAGCCTCTCTTTGAGAAGGGCTGCAGTTGGCTTGATTGAACGCCGGTCAGACGGCGGCCAAACACTCGAGAGCTCATCGAGGGCACATGATGCTGCGACCCCCGTCGATCGCCAACGTCTGGCCCGTGATGAAGGACGCGTCTTCGGAGGCCAAGAATGCAATGGTGCGTGCCACCTCGTCTGCCGTGCCCACACGGCCCATGGCGTGCGTGGTCTTGCAGTGCTCGAGAAACTGTGCAAGGAAGACGCAACAAACTGTTGTCGGGCGGGCCTACTGCTGGCTGTCTGTACCGCAAATCATAGCAACGTTAAAAGAGCAGTTCTCACTGGAAAGAGGGCGCCGCTTCTTTTTTTCTTTTCTTTTTTCAATGTTGGGAGAAATACTTTTTGCTTAACAGACTGGTTAATTTGCACATTTTGTATGACTACTGACTTCACTAAAGAATAAAGAAAAAAACAAAAAAAACTCGCTTCGTTGCTTGGTGCGGTGAAAAGCACCAAAGTAAACTCGACAGAACGAAAAGAAAGGCACCAGTGCAGACTGGCTAGAAACAGTAGCTGCTGAGACTGTGCGAAAGACTATTTAGTATTTTCTTGTAGTCTTTAGAACCCTTTTTTACAAGTGCCGTAAAATTAATACTGACATAAACCAGCACCGGGAAATTGACTTATTAACCCTCCAATTAATCAATAAATGCTTTTTGTTTCAGTTAGCAGAACGTTTCAGCCGCTCGGCATGCAACAGCCTGCTTTGTAAGCAGACGGCAGTGCCACCACTCTCTGCCACTCTGCGTCTGCCACTCTGCGTCTGCAATTGCGAGCTACTCTCGTTGGCTCGGTGCAAGGGTGGCGATGAAATGCATAGTGACACGATTCACAAAGGTATGGCCTGCTCCCATGTTAGCTAGCTTCAGCAAACATGCAACTCTGTATTAAAGAGTTAAGCAACAGCTGAGGTGTGATGCTGGAGCCACTAAGGTGTCATTTTGGAGCAGAGGGGCCGAATGAATCGTAAGGGTGCGAGTGCGCACGATAGTGTCTGCATAGGCATTCTGTACTAAACCAAGTAACACCGGATGAAAATTCCATGGCCTTTTGGGACCAATCAGGGTGTATTAAGTTGAGAGCATTTCAGCTGCCTGCATAAGAGGGCAGCATGTTTCTGAACGTCACTTCGGTGCGAATAGTCGCACATGCTATAAACAGGGACAAGGAAGTAGACAAAACAAAGTGCACTCTCAAATGAAGGTTTGTTGAAACAAACACATACCATTAATGCCATCTTTCTAGCTACCATTTAGAAAATAAAACTGTCGGGTGCATTGACGGGGCACTAACGCACTTGCTTTCTGATACAGAATGCATCGTAAAACTCTAAGGCAGTTTTCTCTGCGTATCTCCTGAGAATTGTTGTTTGTGCTAATATTGGGTCAGATAGGCACCTTTCCCAGTGCACTGCCAGATTGCCCGGCGGGGACTGTTTTTTTTTTTGACCATGCATGACTATGCATGTTATCTCGCAGAGTGCCGAAAATGGCCCGCGTCCATATGGAGCGCGGTCGATGGCGCAAAACCGCGGAAGGTCCCACTAACAGCTATCGCTGTAAAAAAAACAAAAACAAGAAGACCTTGCTGTACGCTTACCTTGGCATAGTCTTCTTCACTCATGCCAGCACGCTTGTGCACTTCCGTGATAATCACACCGGGGCTGGTGAAGGGGAGAGCATGGACAATGTTTGCATGTCGAAATATATGGTACCCTGTAGAAACTTGGCTTGCTTAAGACTCAAGTGCTTTGTCAACCATCATGTTTGCATGTTGAGATATATGGTACCCTGCAGAAACTTGGCTTGCTTAAGACTCAAGTGCTTTGTCAACTATCAGGAATGTGAACAGGCAGTAATTAGGCAAGTTAAATAAAACAATTTTAATTAATAAACAGGACATATAATGGCACCCCCCCCCCCCCCCATGCTGGGCACACTACTTTCTTTTACTGCTCTAATGTTTTGTAACACTCCTGCGTTTACAAACCAATGAGGTGCTGAAAAACAATAAAGAAAGCAGCGTTTTTTTTTTTTTTTTTACTCGATTGTTGGCACCCCCTACTAAATGAGGAACTGCCATTGTGGCTACTACAGGGACCAGACTTCATGAAGTCGCCTTGGAGGAAATTCGAAGATTATAATGCGAAGCAATTCGAAGCGGTAATAATTGAGTCTTGGACCAGGCAGAAATCAGTCTGCAAGCTGTGGAAACATCTGCATTGGAGTTAAACTCAATCCATTTCAGAAGCGATAGTTTGCTGGCTACGTCATCACGGAAATGGTAGCTACTTCATCAACACTATTAGTACTCTTTTCAGTTCTTCAGAATTGATCATCTTAGCTGTACCAACAAAGAAACTTCACACTGCTCCACCCTTCTGCACCCTATGCTTTTGGTCAAGTTTCTTTTTTTTTTTTTTAATATGGAACTAGCAGAAGCTGGTTTCAAACCTGCAAACAAAAACTGCAAATAACCAAAGTTAAAAAAAAAAAGAAGAAAATTTTAAATTTTAGCGATTTTGTATTTTTGGGAGCAATTGACTCTTTATTTTCACTTTTGTTCTAGGGTGGCATAGACAAAGTCCTTTGAAGCGAAATGGGGCAATTGCTGCAGTAATTCTTTTTCTACCTGCTGCTGCTGCTACTGAAAAATCAATTAATGTAGGTCTTACAAGACAGCAACTGCCGCATCAGCACCTGTCTCTGTATGCAGTGTTCTGGCCTAAATATTTATGGCCTAAAAGAGCTCCATAGGAGGTATGCCTAACCTCCTTGAATCTATACACCAACTCATGTTTACAAACAAACCGGAGCGCCCCTAGCGGACGCCACCGGCGCCGCGCATGCGCGATGGGGGTGTGGGCAAGAAGCTCGCCGTCGCCCATAAACAAACCTTTGGAATGCGATGTTGTCGGCGTCAGTGGGAGTTCCCCTGCTCTTTTTCGCGTTCGAATTGTTGATTCTACGTCTTCCTGGCGATGTCCGACTACTTGAGCGGCGTCAGCGAAATTACCGAGGCTCGCTACACCGCGAAACTTCGCGTGAATAATAGGGAATTGTAGTAGACCGTTTCCGCAGCCCGCTAAGCACCCGGATAGCGCTCCGTAATCCCCCACAAGACCTTGAACTATGCAGAGAAGGCTGGCGGCGCGCATGCGCAGCTGCGGCGTTTTCTTCGGGGATACCTTAGCGGAGGAAAAAAACGATCTACTACAACTCCCTATTGTGACATGTGGAGATTCATTCCGCGTGGACGCCGCAGTATATGTACGCTGAAACCTGATTCGCATGATGAAATTTCGTTCGCAATTTTCAGTCGCGACGCCGCTCGGGCTGCAAAAGCGTGAACCGTAGCTGAGATAGTCGACGTCGATACTGAAAATCGCAAGCAGAATCGGACCAAGTCAATTAGGCATAGCAAGTCAGTGACCGCCACTCGTAACAATGATCAACATCTCCTTGTATTTACTGTTTACATCGAGCCCGGTTACCAACCTTCAAACTTAAGTCTTTTGAGACCTGCACTTACTTCGTATAGCAAGTACCGGGCCAACATTTAATCCTCGGGCCGGCGTCGTCTAAGAGAGCAGACGACAAGCAGAAACGTTTGAAAGAGCAGACGACAGTTCGAACGATCAGGCGGCCGTTTGAACTTGCAGACGCACTGAACGTAGTCCGCAGGTGGTCCGCACAACTTGACGGTTTTCTGGCGTCCATGTTGGAATGAAACAAATAAATCTGATGACCACAAGTATCCGTGAATTCAACTCAAAGTGCTTCCCGCCCAAGCAATCGTTGTCCGTCGGCGTCTGCTTTTCCCTTTTCACGGCACATATCCAGATTCTCGGACAAACCCAGCACGTAAAAACTTTCCTTCAAATCTTTCTCGACTCTTTTGGCACGGCCCCAGTCCCGGCGTTTCGACGAGGACGCAGGTTTTTGTCTTGTTCCCTTCAAAACAACGCAGGAATACACGTCTGGCATGGGGACTTCTGCCCACAGCCCCAGACCGGAAGTGCGACCGACGCGCCACCACCGCGCCGTGACGTCAAAGAGATGAGTTGGTGTATAGACGCTTTCAGCGAGTCAGTTACTGGAGCTGCCACCAGTCGGCGCGCCCTTCGCGCGCTTTCCGGGCCGCCATACCCGACCTTCAGTTTCTCGCCGTTGCTCCGCGTTGTGTGCTGCACAGGCCAATACCGGAGCTTCGTTTTCGTGTTCATTTACGTTCCGCGTTGAAATCTTGTATTTTCTTTGGGTCTTTTCGATATTTAGGACTTTCATTTAACCATTTGATATTTATATTTCGACATAGCTCTTGTATTTTCTTATTTATGGAATAGAATCGGACAGCGAATGGGTCGAGGATACAAGATTATGAGGCTTCAATGACCATGTAAGCTCATCCCATTCTTGCGTTTTTGTCGCTAATAAAGGGCAGTCAACACTATTGCGACATATGCAAATTGCAACTGACGCAGTAAGGCTGTCACAGTCGTGCTTCTCGCTGCATGTGCGCGCTCGTTTCCGTAAAGCCGGCCCGCATGTAAGCGATTTAGCGTGCGACGAGACGAGCGACGGAGATTTATTTTCTTATTATTTATTTACAAATACCGTCGCCCGTCGCATCGCTCGGTTTTTTGGTTTTCTAGAAAACGTCGCTCACCGTCTTGGTCGCTTGCTCCGTCACTTCCATGCTGTTTGCCTCGTCGCGCGACTGACTGAGTTTCAGCGAAGCGGGTCGCCATCGCTTATCTGGTCGCTCGCCAAATCGCTTACACGCGGTTTATACTCAATTTATTTCCATGCACACAGCATTGAACCACTGGCGCCTCGATATTAAGTATAAACCGCATGCAAGCGGTTCGGCGAGCAACGAGACAAGCGACGGTGACCCGCTTCGTTGCCGCTCGGGCAGTCGCGTGACGAGGCAAACCGCGTGAAAGCGACGGGAGCAAGCGACCAAGACGGTGAGCGACGTTTTCTAGAAACCCCAAAAAACAACCGAGCGATGCAACAGGCGGCAGTGAGAAATCATCGTCGCTGACTCTTGTCGTTGTCGCCGTCGCTCGTCTCCGTCGCACGCTAAATCGCTTACATGCGGGTTGGCTTTACGGAAACAAGCGCGCACATGCAGCGAGAAGCACGACTGGATAGTCTTATTGCGTCAGTTGAAATTTGCATATGTCGCAATAGTGTTGACTGCCCTTTATTAGCGAGAAAAACGTTAGAATGGGATGAACTTACATGGTCTCTGAAGCCATAATCTTGTATTGTCGATCCATTCGCTGTCCGCTTTCATTTCATAAATAAGAAAATACAAGATATATGTTGAAATAGAGATATCAAATGATTAAATGAAAGCCCGAAATATCGAAAAGACCTAAAGAAAACATACGATTTCAACGCGGAACGTAAAAGAACGCGAAAACAAAGCTCCGGTAGTGGCCGGTGCAGCACATAACGCGGAGCAACGGCGAGAAACTGAAGGGCGGCTATGGCGGCAGGGTCACGTGACGCCAAGATGGCGGCGCCCATGAAATGTTGCCTGAAAGGGTCTATAGTGCCTCACCTAGTGGCTGAGAAAGCAAAGCTTGACCTTTTGTGTACTGGAAAACTATGTTCGTGGTTCAAATTTTGCAAATTGGACAAAAGGTTTATATATTCATGACCATTACATTTCACAAATTCTAAAGGCTGGAATTTGCCTTCCTAGACAATGAAATTATATGTGTGCCCTTAAAGTTAGCAGATTTTCTTCCCTTTTACGAAAATTTGCGGCTTGTTTAGTGTTAAAGGATTTATAGCAGTGAGAAAAGTCATATTGCCGCATGACTCAGACGTAATAAGAAAAAAAAAGCCATATACCTATTACATGTTGAAAACTGGTGTCCAACATTTCTTTAGTATAATATGACACTGCCCCTGACTTGGTAGAACAGATTGCTGTGTCAAAAACTTTTACTGCATCCAATTAAACAAGAAAAATAAGATGTGTATCGCAGCAGAAATAAACCAATCTGAATCACACTTACTTGACTGCATTTACTCTTATGCCATCAGCAGCAAGCTCTAATCCATGGAAAAAAGAAAAAAAAAAAAATCAGGTCACATCTGAGCTTCAATAAATTCCTAAAATTTATGAAGATAAATCAGTTGGATATTTAATGTGCTTCCCACATCTAATATCCAACTACTGCTTGTGAGACAAGCACTACTCTTCGCAAGATGCTTTAACTCCACACACTCAAAACTTCATAAGCTCTAACAACTCCATTGTTGGTCAGCAGCATGCACCACTTTTGTATAGTCAAACCCGGATATATAATGAAATAAAACAGTGCAAAGGATATAAAAAGGAAGAGACAAACTGGACAGGACAGACACCGACTTGCAACTAAAGCTTCTTTACTTAAAGAAAAAGATAAAGCAAAAACAGGTTGCTCCGCACAACCGCATGCGCACCTTTCACCTATGGTAGCTGACTGCGGCATGCACTGGACCCTCATTGTCAACTCCAGGAATTCGCTGTCGCTCCCTGGGAGCGACAGTGGAAGGACACCTATCGGTTCACTGCAAAGAGTGCCTGTGCGAGTTGTTTTTTAGTGCCACCACCATCTTGAGACGACACAGGGACAAAGCGACACGCGAGGTGCTGGAGGCCTTCCACATCCAGAGCAGAGAAGAAAAATGTATCAGCGCAGCATCAGTGGCGTTGTCTGGCAAGGAACTGGAATTCCTGAAGTTGACAGAGGGTCCAGCGCGTGCCGTAGTCAGCTACCATGGGTGAAAGGTGCACGTGCAGTTGCGTGGAGCAACATGTTTTTTCTTTATCTTTTTCTTTAAGTAAAAAAGCTTTTGTTGCGAGTCAGCGCTCTGTCCTGTCCGGTTTGTCTCTTCCTTTTTATATCTCTTGCGCTGTTTTATTCCATTATGCACAATGATCACCAACTAGCCCAGCTATCAACCTTATTACAGAACCCGGATATATTGAATTCAAAGGGGATCATAAAATAGTTCGATATATCGATAATTCGATATACAAAAACATGTTAAATGAAGCTCGAGTTGAAATTTCCTGGCATCTCTGCTAATACTGAAGGTCGCGACAAACAGGAGCTTACCAAATAGAGCATCCAAGAGCTGCTAAATACAGTGGAGCATAATTGGCGGAGCAGCAAACACCGCCGCACTTACATGCGCGCCTGGTTGGGACCCCCACACCGCATAAGCGATAAAACACGAAAATAATAAAAAAAACAAATGAAAGAAAAAGGGAAAAGCGAGTTGCATGAAAAAAAAAAATTATAAAAAAGTTAAGCAAGCAAAAAAGAAAGCTCACTAAATTCAGGCAACAAAAAACGAAAGGGAAAAGAAAACAAAAAAAACTGGCAAAGCAATAACGGCAAAAGAAAAAGTTAAACAAAGATAAGGCATTGCATTGGGATTGCACAATCGCTGTTGTGGACATTGCACAATCTGTTGTCGACAGACTCGACTTGCCCAAGACTTTCTTTTTATTTTGCTCATTTTATTTTGGGGCTAGGGAGTCGCACAGCATTAGCAGTGTTCGGAGAAAGGGCACAGGCTACGCTATTGTTCTGACAGCAAGCACTCACTTCTCTCCCTCGCGTGCATGCCCTTCCCCTTGCCATCCTCCACTTTTTTTTTTTTTTTTTTTTGTAACAGTTTTTTTTCTACAACTGCTCTTTTGTTGCCTATCTTCCAGCGTGTATGCTGGCTTGGCGGTCTGCTAGCCACGCAAGGCAAGCAATGTGCTCGCCACTTGCGCAATCGGATCGCGGGAAAAGCAACAAGCGGCCGGGCTTCCTAGGGAGTTTGATACAAAAAGACAACGCTCCTATAATATATTACATGTGATTTTCAAGGAAATGCTTGGACTGTTTGATGGTAACAATAATTCGAAATACCCGAGTGTGATATTAACCGGGCTCGACTGTATAACTTTAACATAGTCACATAACTCCAATAGTAGCTCAAGTCTAATATTTTCCGATTCGGCTTGGGTGTCTAAACTGACGGGAATGGTAGGAAACACTTTCATGTGTTTGGGGCTCCTGGCGTGGCAGTAGCAATTTCAGCTTTTCGCGAGGGAGCCAGAAACCCATGGAAAGGATGTTTTGAAGGAACATGACCAACTGCGCATCCAGAACCAATAGCAAGTGTCGCAACGACGAACCCGCTTCTGCAGTAGAAAGCCGCGCCATAAAGTTGGGACTCCCAAGGTGCGAGCCTAACAGGAGAACCCCAAAAGTCTGAGTTCTCTTTTGTGACAAAGTCGCGGGAGTGTCTTCTAATAAATCTTGTTTTAGCACGGAAATGGAGCACCAAGAGACCTTTCTCCAACCACTGAACCCAACGGCAGGCTTTGCATCACACTAGCACATCAACTCACCTAAGGCTGCTGTTCTAGTCAGCTGATCCAGGCCTGCTTTGCTGATGTTGTACACAACCACTCCAGGAAACTGCATGATGAGACCGCAAGTTACTACATGGAGCGCTGCCACCTCGTTCATGCCATGCGACTTACCGCACGCAACCCTGTGACGCTTGACACATTCACAATGTTTCCTGAAATGACACAAGTGGATCTTGAAACTAGAGGCATTTTCAACTCTATAACCAGCATGTGCTTTGTAAACCTGCTTTACATAGTGATGTGGGCCAGCATTCCGAGAATGATGCCGTGCACTAGAGATGGATGTGCACACGCATAGCTTTTAAAAGTGACTACTTAAGCTGCACAAACACTTGCGCTCGTTACAAAGGCCACAAATTCGGACTACATTAACCTATGCTCGTTGTACCTCACAATGCCCCTCCCGAAGGCAGAAGCTCCTTGGCCGATCCAGTGGTACAAGCCCAAGCTTCGAGAATCATGTTTATTGTTCTTTCACGCTAGTTCTCTTTTTCCCTGCAATACCACTCTCAAAAGCTGACTTGATCTCCCGTGTACTGCCCTTCGCATTCACAGATACACAAACAGGGATGCAGACTGCATGACACTTAGTACGAACACGTTTTTGCGCTTTTTCATGTTTTACTGTGAAAAAGTACTGGCGCGGCTGTAAAACATTTACCACTTAGGTTAGTACCCCAACTCGGCACTTTCCAACACTAAAGTAGTTTCAATAACAAACCCTCCATATTGAAAAAAGAAAAAAGAAAAAGGAGAAAATTGGCGATGCCTTGTTCGCACCAACAGTGTTGCGGAGTGCACAATTATAGTTTCAGTTGCGTCATTTGTGTCGGACAACTTCCCACCTTTGGTCTTTCGAAGATGTGGAATGGCGACCTGCATCACGTGGAAGACACTGCGCAGGTTGATGTTCATCACCTGGTCATACACGGCAAGTGGCGTGGCCTCCGTTGTCCCATTCTTAATGATCCCAGCGCTGTTGACCTGCAGTCAGTTGCACATTTGAGTCACTTTCAAACAAATTTCAAGCTAATCTGGGAAATAGCTACTATAAGCCTTTCCAAAAAGAGCTCTCTGGCTGGCATCATTCTGCGACTCTCGCAACCTCTATCGGCCAGAACTTTCTGCCACCTTTCTGGGCTGTGTAAACCCGAAATGCGCGACTCTGCATCTGCTTCGTATGTTCAGAGTTTGCCAATTTTCTTGAACGTTTTTACTTCATCTGCCTTCTTGGGATGCTCATCTTTTTTGCGTTATATTCCACCGGGAGAACCAGGGAATACCGGGGCTCCTAGCCTGCTCGGCCTTCGCAGAAAATGAATGAGAAGAGCAAACATCAAAGGCCCTTAATGCAGGCCGCTTGACATTTTTCAAGGACTTTCTCCGCCGAGGTAATCTCTGGAAAGCCCTTCACGGTCTTCGTGAAGAATAGCTCATTCGCCGTGGGATAGGGAACATTGCAGACATGTTTGTTCCTTTGGTTGGGTGCTGTGCAAAAAACAAGCTCTCTTCAAAACATGCCCTAAAAAAAAAGTCCAGATTCTGTTCGGCCGTCGTGAAGTGACTCGTTGACACTATAGACTGGACATACAACCGTGTCATTCGAAATCTTTTTCAAATAAACCTCGTTTGGATAACGCAGCACCGTGGCATACATACAACAGCTTGTTCAAATGATGGGACTTGTTGAATTTTATGTTGTGAACGGGGAACGCCTATGCCTTTCAGCTATCCTGTGTGATCAAATATTTTCGACAGTAAAGGCCATTGTAGATTGGCGTGGCTCAGTGTTTGGCGGCGTGAAAAATCTGCATAAAATGAAACAAACACTCCAGTTGCATTCATTGTTGCGCACAGACTCATAAAAAATAGTTTTTACTTGTTTGTATTTGTTCCCAGAGATGCTCTCTCGAAGGCCACGAGAAATTCCGTTCACCACAAAACGCAAACAAAAAACAATAAAACAAAGCAATTTTGCTGCTGCCAGTGTTGGGAATTGTGCCTAAGCGAACTTCCACAGTTCACCGACGAGGAACCCCACAGCCCAGTGCAGTCAGGCAGCACTGACATGCACTTTCAAAACCAAGGATGCGCGCCTTAAATCACCTCACTCGAGACTGCCGCTGGAAGGGTCTATAGCAGGGTTGCCACGTTTGGCTTCTTTTCGGGGCACATGGCTACCGAAAATTGAGGCTGGCTACTTGGCTACCTTTTAATGCTGGTATCTTTTATTGTAAGGAAGACTCCTAGCCTGAATCTGTGACATCACAACAGTTTTGCACTAACATTCTGAGTGTTTTGAAGAATCTAAACAGCAGTTGACTTCAGCCAATTTCATAAACCATGCAGAAGGAGAAAGCACCGTAATAGAGTAACAGAGTAGCGAAAAAATCAGCAGTGGGTCGGTGGTGTCGCTGAGCCTGCCACTCTACCGAAACAAAATATGAAGAAAGTTAGCTCTGAAGATTGCTCTGTTCACCGCCTGCCACCTGCCTATACAGTGCCTGCGTGAACTTTTAGAGCTACTGAACTTTGTTTTTACTCATGTTTTATGTACAACTTGCTGTAATATACAGTCATGTCTCGTTTATATGGATGCCATTAAATGGATAACCTGCTATATGAATACCATTTTGGGGGAAAAACTGGGGAAATATATGAATTTTTGTCTCGTTATTATAGACAACTCGCATTATAGACAATGTTTTGTCCATATTAACGAGACATCACTGTACTACTTTTTCTTAGATTGTTGTTACTGCAGCAAGAAAACAGAAAGCAATGTCGCTCTCTTTTTTGCACATAGCATACTTGGGTAGTAATTCAATTACAGTGATTGGATTACTGTAATTTAATTAATTTTCTTTGTAAATTGTAATTAATTACTTTTGGCCAAAAGGAATTGTAATTTAATTACTTTCTAGTGTCAGTAATTGCAAAATTTCAGGCAAAATTATAATTACTTTTGCAAAACTTTGCTGCGCTGACGGAACCTCTCTGAAAACCTCAGCGCTCGCACAAGCGGCCTCTCGGCGAAACACTCGCACAAAGACATGCACGCACAACATAGCATTGCATTGTTTGTTGTTTTGTTGCTTACACTGCGGGCTGAGAGACAATTATCTTTAGAGCCTACCTCAACGGCGCCGTCTGGTGGGCGAGCGGAAAGCAATAGCGTACACATGCCAAAATATATATAAAAAAAAAAAATTTATCTTTAGCTTTCAGTTGAGTTAGGGAATTTTCATTGTCTATGAGGTTTTTTTTGTTTTGTTTTTTGCCAGTTTTTTACGTGTTTTTTTTTCAGTACTGTCGCATATTTGCATCTTTGTATTATTTTCAAGTTTATTTCCTGTTGGATTTAATTCGTATATTTTTTGCAGAAGCATTTTGGAGACTGACCTCGCACCTGTGAATATTCACACCAATGCTTCGGGAGCCCCGATTTGGCTTTTATATATTTCTGAGCCCTTATAATTTTAACTCAATGTATATAATTTACAATACCGTGATGTTTGTATGTGAAGGCAGTCGTATTAGCGCATGTGGATTTTAGTTTTATATTAACACTTGTAAATATTAATATATGACTAATTGTTGCATTTTTATTTGCCTGTCTAACAAAAGTCTCAACCCAATTTTTTCTCTAGCTTTCTGGCATCTTCCAGCATATGAACTAAATTATTATTATTTATTAAAAATATAAGAATGTAGTGCTTCATTGCCCCAGACTGTCAATTTCTATCATGAATTTAACACAATTCATAAAAGGAAGGTACAATATCTGACATTAATGCAGCGATGCCTAAGCCTCCCAAACATTGGGGCGAGGAATGAACAAATATGTTGTATTTTATAAAACTCGTCTAAAGTTATGTGGCCCAAGTTGGGTCGCTCTCAGAAATAGGTAATTGCAAAGTAATTGAATTACGTTTTAAAAGTAATTTGTAATTAATTACTTTTTACGTAGTAGTAATTGTAATAGTAGTTAAACTACTTTTGAAGCAAAGTAATTGCAATTAAATTACATTTTGGAAGTAATTTACCCATGTATGGCACATACTGATTATAATACCCAACGTTTTTGCGCAGGTTGCACATGTTGGCTACTGTGTGGCCACTAAAAAAAGGACCTCGGTGCCAGTTGACTACTTTTGGCAATTCTTCTTGGCTTGCTTGTTTCTTGGAGACCTGGCGACCCTGATCTATAGTTGGTGTCCAGTTTAGAACTATGCCTCCAACATGCGCTCGATGTCTCCCGCTGGGCTTTGGCCTCGTGCGCAACAAAGTGTTATCATAGAAAGCTTGTGCTTGAGGCACAGTACCTACTGCATCCTTTACCTGCCACCAACCGCAGCGACGCAAAACATACAGAATGATTAATACGAAACAAAACCCTGCTAAAACACAGAGTCATGAATACGGATACTTTGCCCATTAAGTAGCAAACAGGAGCAAACACATCCAAGATGGCAAATACATTGTACTAAACGTAGATGAACTGCTGCTTTTACAGAACAAAGCTTGAAACAATTAAAGACACAACAATAACCTGTTTTAAATGACAGCCACAGATGGCACCTCCAGGTCTTGTCCTGAAGCATCCACATTCAGCAAATCTCAATGAAGCGAGGTAAGAAAACCAAGGACATAGTACCAACATACCGCAAAGTTCCAAGAGAACGCTCGCCCCGGAGAGATTGCCCATCCTGTTTTTGTGGCTAAATATCTATAACATAAAAATTCCGAAACATCGCCCACCCTCCCAATTCTCGTCGGATGTCACGCGATATCCGATGGGAATCGCATCAACCATGCAATTCGCTGTACCGGCACGTCTGACAAGCGAGCTCATAGTAGGGTCCTGCATTTTTGTGAGTGCCGCGAGCATGCGCAATATCAACTCGTGTAACACGAGAGTTGTTCTTGCGTGTATGTTGCGCTGTGAAACGCGAATCTGCTGCCTTCGGAATCTGTTTATTTGTTTCAGTAACAAAGATTGTAGCGGATTCACGCGTTTTTGTCCGCGATCTACGCACGCAATATCGGTTCCCGTGATTTTTTATAAAGATTTGCTCTGGCATCCCCAAAGATAGCCCACCCCATGTTTTTCACCATTTATCTTTTCATTTAGGGTAGGTGTCCTTTCGGAACTTTACGGTAATCAGGTGTGATTTGCAACCCCATTGGTCATGTTCTGCTGCAATTGTTTTCTCTGCCAAACAGAAGTGATGGCTGCTGTTTTGATTCCCTTATAAGTGATGAATTTGTCAAGTATAGCAGTTACCAAAATGTCAAGCTTTCCAAAGTGTTCGAGAGTCTTCTTAACGACGTTGGCGACATCATCTTCCTTGCACAGGTCTCCGGAAATCACGAGAACCTAGAAAAACAAGGTGCTGTTAATAATTGTGAATTAGATAAAATGATTTTAAATATACGGACATGCGTCCAGATTTAAATTTCTGAACAGTGATTTGATGATCGATGTATTCGAAACTTTTTGAACACTTTCGAGTATTGCCTGATTGTCTTCGGACAATTTGAGCTCCGTTGAGCGCTCTTCCCCTTGCGGCGTGTGCACACTGCAGCATAGCCACACCCACTGGCGGCAATGTTGCAAGGGCAGTTTTCCCACATCGCTGATCGAAGGGGCAAAATAAAGCATCTTCCGTCTGTGTATGCATGCAGCTAAAGAAGGGTTGTGGCATGATTTCCTCTTTATTTAACACTTGGATGATCCAATTTGCAAAATCATTTAATTCAATAGTCAATATTCCATTTGGCATTCCGAATTGTAGTATTCCAAACTATTTCGATGTTACAACTAGCTATCGAATTTGAAAAAAAAACAAAAAACATCAGTATTCTTAGTCATGGAAAAAGCAGAAATTAAAAAAAAAAAAGAAATGTTCTAGGAAAAACAAAAAACAATGCACACTACAAAAAAAAAAAAAAGTGCAAACAAGTGGTAAAATTGTTTGAAAGGTGAGCTGGGGAAATCCTTCCCCCGCCCTACACGAAGAAACACCTAATTCGGCCAAAGTTTGGAAATCCTAGGGGCCTAACTTGGGCATAATAAGGTTTTGCTCCAAGGCATTAGTTAATAGTGGCTTTTTTCTGGTTCGCTACATAATTGCCAAAGTACAGCCAGACATGAGCCAAAGATGTCGCATATCAACCAAAAAACCAGCAGTGAAGCCTCACTCGGGCACTTGTTTGGCAATTCAGGGCCAAAGTATCCAGACTCTGTCCAAAGAATATTGAGTTTGGTTATGCCTTGACTTTTTTGGGCTTTCAAAACCCTACATTTCCAGGCAAATGTCCTGCCCTATTTAGGTCCAAAGGACCATGCTACTTGGGTGGGCAAAAGTATAGTTGGTTTTTAAGGAAGAGAAGATCAGTCTTCCGTCACACCTTTTCTTGAGGCAACCCTTTGGATTGGCACAGTGTAGCGACCTTGTCCAAGGCCGCCTGGTCTCTGCCCGTGAGTGCCAGCCAGCATCCGAGAGAAGCAAAATGCACAGCAGTCTCCCCTCCTATGCCCGACGATGCTCCTACGAGGCGGACACAGCGCTGAATTATGCAAAAGGCTGATGCGAGGTTGCACATTTCCCAATAAACGTCCGATTCTTGAACAGAATGGTAAACCCCAAGACGGGTGTGGAACAGAAGGTGCAGTACAAGGGTTAAGGCCCGTTCACACTCTTGCGACCGAGTAAGACCGAGAGAGACCAGACCGGTTTTTAAGCCTCTTGCGATCTCTTAGGACCAGCTCTGCTGCAGTGCACCCGGTCCTAAGAAGTTGCAAAAGGCTTAAAAACCGGTCTGGTCTCTCTCAATCATACTGGGTCGCAAGAGTGTGAACGGCGCTTTAGGACAAAAAGAGGACAGACAAATGTCTCGAAGACGTCGAGATGTTGTCTGTTCCCCTTTTCTTTCTGTCTCCCCTACTGCATTTTCTCTCCTAGTCTCAAGGTCTACCACCACATTCAACATATGCCAGCTCACACCTGCACTTTGCCTGATAATTTCCTACAGGAACACTGCTAGGTAATGAATGCACATTTCAGGAATTGTGGCATCCCCAACCAGAATTAAACAGGCTGAAACTAGCATTTTAGAAATCCACAGCAGCTTATTACAAGTTACTGAATTCTGTTATTACGCTGGCACCAATCCAAACTGAAACCTTTAAAATATGCTGAAATGAAATGTTATTACAGGTGTAGGGCCAGTTGTGAAGGTTTCTCTCATGTACCTGGGAATGGAGCAAGCTGATGGCAATCTGGAGAGAAATTAGCTCTTTTATCATATTGATCACTTGGATTTAAAGTCGTAATTAGTTTGGCTGAGAATAAAGCCAGTTTACTTTACACTCTTAGTGACTGGACAGTGCCGATCAAAACACACCCTTAAAGGGGTACGGAAACGAGAATTGAAATATTCAAATTTTGTTCGGAAATGAGTCAACCATGACGGATACTAGCCATAAATGATAATCGCACGTTTGTATTTGGAACGACTGGCTATATTTTTCGTTCCAAATGGTGCACTCGAGCAAGCACTCTAAGAGAAGTGAACGAAGAGCGCGATGCGTCATTGGACATTCAGCCCAGACAAAAACAAAACAACAGATTCCCCGCATTCGTGACGTAGCAAGGCTTTGTTGTTATGGGCTTTGTTGTTGGTGGCATTGTCAGCATTGTGGTGGTGTTAATAGCGTCAATGCGTGACAACCGCGCCGTTCGAAGTACCCGTGGGGTGATGAGTCTGTGGCTGGTCCAAGGAGCACGTAGCTTCCACAGCACTGTCAGTTTAGGGATAAACTGGGTGGGGAAAGCAACTTTCGTCCAAATTGTGAGCGACGGGCTAATCTTCTAGGGGGAGAATGGCTGTGTCCGGGCACACAAACGAGTGTCCGAGCAAGAAGGGAGTCCCTTTTTTCCGTCTTTTTGAACTGTTTGGTACAATGCGCGATTTGTGAGTTGAGGAAAGCTAAGAAGGAAAATGTTGAATTCCAAACGGCGGCAGTGCTCTGATGGAACTTGCTGCATCATGACTACATAGCAAGTTCCCCAACGTAGCTAGATTACTTCCCAAATGGGCTCCACATGCATCCACCAGGTGCACATGGCAAGATTGTTTAATTAGCTTTAAAATTAGTTTTCTTGTGCTTTTCAGCGAAAGACTGGCATTTTGAGGTTATGCTGCAACATGCAACACATTAAAGGAGTCATCAAACAATTTTCCAACTTTTTCCTGTTTAGCTTTCCTCTTCAACTCATAAATCATGCATTGTACAAACAGTTCAAAGAGACGGAAAGGGGGAAGTCCCCTCTTGCTCGGATTCTCGTTTGTGTACCCGGACACAGCCATTCTCCCCCTAGAAGATTAGCCCATCGCTCAAAATTCAGGCAAAAGTTGCTTTCCCCACCTCGTTCTCCCTGAAGCTGACAGCGCTGTGGAAGCTACATGCTGAATGGGCTAGTCAAACTTTTGCATATGATCACGCTCTCTCGTGCATCCCCATGCACAGAAAGTGAGGTCAGGTGATGAAAGGGAGGCAGCTGATTGATCTGACACGTACATAGCTTCCAATGCAACGTCAGCTAAGGGGTGAAGGGAATAAGAGAGGTCCGGTGTCGTGTGACGTGCTTTTGGACCCGGTGACGCACTTTGGGGACCGCGGATGTATGTGTGTTTGTATGGTTGTTTAATTATATGTTGGCGATACACTCTCAAACTGACTGCGTTGATCTGTTGTCTCATAGGACCCAACTCGGCACACTAAAAGCGGAAAACAGTACACAGCCGCGCTTGTACAAGAGTCTACGACATCATGTGATCACCTACACACACTGATCACTTATACATGCAGCCGCTAGTGCTCTCATTCCTGTTGTCCAGCTAATGCAGATGTAGAGCTTCGGGCTATAGATCAAGAGGGCTCCGGTTCGATCCCTCTGCTGAGGTGCATATATTTCTCTACTTACAATAAATTGTCCTTATTAAATAATGATAAATAATTTATTAATTCATGTTATCATCATAACCCTAGAACAGTTTTTCGTGACACTCAAAGTTATGCCCACCTGATGGAAACATGTTGCGTTAATAGTTACCCGGCTTATCCCCTAGAGCGGCATGTAAACATATCAGACGACTCTGTGGTGAAAGTACCACAAAACTTCACATATCACCGCGCCCCTCCCAAAAGATAGGGGACGGTTACACCGTATTGGATTAACTTCAATGGATCTTAGAGTCCTCTACAGTCCATCATAATGAGACACGGATATTCACTGGCAGCCAAAGTGAAGTCTGTCGCCGCCAAGTATGAGCTTACAATGAGCGTTCACAATGCTTTTGCAATGTGTATTACACATTACCAAGATTGCAGTTCTTCTTAGAAGTAGGGGCTCGTCCTGATCAAATTTGAGCATGCTGTGAACACCACTCTCAAATATGGCACCCAGCGAATAGCACCCATTAGCAACTCCAGCAAAACGGATGGCACCCAGTGGGAAAACATTGCACTGGCCAAAACAGGAACTTTCACAATTTCTGCCTGTTTCTTGTGGCTTCAGTGATTCCATGTTGTTGGTGGTTGGCGCATTGTTACGGAGGCGAGAGAAGTTGCATTGGTTGTGTCCACAGCAATAAAAATGGCAGTAACGACAGGGCCACCTAGAAAACCGTGACTCATATTGGCCAAACAAATTAGGTGTACCTTGCAATGCTTCTCATGTTGTGTAGGGCCAACAGCTGTCCTGGTGTCTCTGTTGCTACTGTAGTATCAGTGTATTGCCTAGGTTGCTCTGAATGCAACTGTATGAACCAGACATTGTGCGTTTATCAATGTTCGTCAGAAGGGGCTAGGTATGGCCACAGACAACTTTCTGTGCGCCCTTAGCGCAAAGTTTTGCGGTGTAACGAGCATTGTTAATTTCGCTCAGGCCACTAAAGTAGTAAGACATTGCTACAAGGGCGTAGAATCAACAATTCCAACATGAAAAAGAGCCCGGGGACATGCACCGACGCCGACAACATCACATTCCAACGGTTAGCTGATGCGGAATGCAGCACTTCTTGCCCAGACCTCATTGCATGTGCGTGGTGTGTCGCTAGGGGCGCTCCGGTTTGTTTCTAAATTTGAGTTGGTGTCTGTCGATTTCCCAAAGAACGAAAACCCTGGAAGCTCTTTTACGCCAACACAGTGCTGCAACTTTTGAACGTAGCAGATAAAAATTGGGGCAAACCATTTTAACGCCAATGCTTGCTTGCTCAAACCCGAGTGCTGTGCGTTAAGATGGCACATGGCACAACTAGGGCTGTTTTCGATTGCCATATCTGTTGAGTGGCGACTGCTATGGTAAGTCCATGGAGTCTCAAATAGTGGCACTTCCTTGTCACTAACCCTCGCACTAATCGCTTTGCGAACGCAGCTCTCCTAGCTTGCTTCTGTAACAGGAACAAGCCATTTCTTTAATTTTTTTTGGTAATTTTTAATTTTAGAGAACTTGTAAAAAAATTTTTTTTTTTTTAACATGTAGTTGGGGTTACATGTTTCTCCAGCACCCGGTCGTCATTTTTAAATATGTCTACAGTAAATTTTTCACTGTAGATGTGCTGCCATCTCGCCGCAGCACCCCAAACTAAGCTCGTAACGAACCTAGTTCGTCAAAACAGCCAAGGAGCGAGCAAAGGCATGTGGAAGACGGCTCTAGGTAGCTGGTCTCCTTCTAAACGGTTAAGGAATTAAGTGCGCCGTTAAAAGGGTATCGCTACCTGCTATTTTATTGCATTCCTAATGCTTGGCCCGTAGCAAGGACCGTGTTGACAGCACAAAGAGGCAACTTCGCCACATGGAAAAAATACCTTTCGCTCAAGTGCAATTGATGAGGAGTATTTTGTATGCACGTTTACAGTTCTTAAAAGCCCCACCTACAAAAAGGTTTTCCACAAGCTAAAAAGATCCTCCTTGCCACTTTCCCACTCTCCCACTGCTATCTTGACTGAGGGGGATTCCTTCTGTTTGGGCTGGATGGAGCCGGGATAAGCTCCCAGCTCATCTTGCCCCAAGATGCAGCAACAAAAAAAGTACTCCCTCTCCTCTCCTCTCCCTCCCTCCCTCCCCCTCCCCCCCCCCCCCCCCCCCAAGATAAGAGTGGGAGATGGGGAAATGGAGAGGGTGGCAAGGAGGATTTTCCTACCTTGCAGAAAACAATTCTGTAGGTCGGCCTCTTTAAAGGGATACTTCAACAAAATTTGAAATATACTTGTTGTGTTCAAAAATAAGCTGAATATGATCCACAATATCCGTAAATGACAATCGCACGTTTGTATTTTGAGCCTGATGGCTGTATATTTTGTTATAAACAGCCCAGTCTGGCAAGCGCTCAGAGAGCAGCCAGCGGAAAGCACGTCACATCCGGCGCAATCGTGACCTAGTTTGTCTCGGGATGAGCAAAACTGCAGCGAGGCTGACGTCGTCAGGATGCCCCAAAAACTGCTTTTGTGTGAATTTGAGTGAAGGGTTAATCTTCTATAATCTTGTAGAGGGAGAATAGCAATGAGCTAAGACAAACAAAACACTCTTGTTGAGTGTGGAGTACCTCCCTACGTCAGGTTGAAAGCATGTATAGTTCTAGGCAAGACAGTTATGCTCACTACATGTCAAGGTTCCTAGACGGGCATTGCAAACGAGGCTTTAGTGACATCCACCAGGTGTTATGATACTGTTTAGTTATGATACTGTTGTATTACCACTGCATGACAACTATAACCAGGCGGTTCCGCTGCTTCAAAGCGATATAGATTTATTAGTTTACTGGTTCTCAAGTAATCTCATTGTTGTGAACATCGATAAAACTAAATTAGTCTGTTATCGTAATCCCCATAAACAAATTACTCTACTACGAAACATATATCTTCACCTCCATTATCATGGTCAACACATTTGCACGGGTAGACCATTACCTTATGACTCCCCGGTGAAATATTTGGGGTTAATATTTGACCAATATCTACTTTGGAACCAACAAATTGAATGTATTATTAAGAGAATGCGGGTGGTATCGGCGTATCTTTACAAGCTAAAAAGTGCATGTTCTGTAAACTTGGGGAGAACTATTTTCAGATCTTTAGGAGAATCAGTTATACGGTATGGAATTACTATATATGGGAATTGTTCCGAGTACAAAAAACAGGGAATTGATAGAATCATAAAATATAGTGTAAACAGTATTTCTTACGGGTTAGTGTACGATAAACTAAACCTTGAAGAAAAAATGTGTGCGTTAGAAATATTGTCATTTAATCAGTTTCATAATTATGTGATAATAAGTAATTACTACAGTAGAGCTTTTAAACAAGAGGTAGAAAAAAAGAAACTTGCGGCGTACAGATAGGTTAAAAATCCCTAAGATACAAACAAATTATGGAAAAAAGTTAAAATGACACTATGTTCCTTCGATGTTCAACAGTTTGCCAGAGTATTTGCTGAACTTATCTTTTCGTGCGGTAAAACGGAATGTATGAAAATGGTGCCTCACGCTCGCACAATAATAATTATATAATTACTCAGTGCGTATTCATTGCCCATATTCCTAAATTATTGTTGTTTTGTTTCTCCAGTGTTCAATGTGTCACGGTATTTTGTTGGCTGCCTGGTTCCACATACAAGCATCTTTGCTTTCGTGGGCCAGCACGCTTACACTTCTATTTTTTCACAGATGATAATAAAAATATATTATTATTATAGGTGCTCTTAGCCAATCGTTTGGTGTGTATGATGGGACACAGCTCCCTTAAACACATATAGACCGAAAAATAAGTGCCGAAATTTCGTTGAAAATCCTTGAAAGAAAACAGACATATGCTCGCTGCTGGCCAGAATGCCCTGTATAAAAATTCAAAAGCGCAAACACCAAGGAAAAGCATCTATAAACTATAACAATAATTTTTTCTTCTTCTTCTTTTTTACCTTCACATACCTAATTCTTCTTTTATGTCTTCCTCGGGGAATGCATTAAACTTCCAGTTGGTGTAAGCGCTCTGTCCTGCCCCTCTTCTTTTCCTTGGTGTTTGCGCTTTTGAATTTTTATAGAATGTGTAGCCAACTAGCCCAACAGTTAATTTTGATACAGAATGCCCTGCTTGCTAAGATGACTAAAAAGCCTTTCTCCATCCATAAATGGTGACAGCACTTATCATGTAACGGGTGTTCCTGACAGAAAAGTATCTGGTTTTTGTTGACGGCAAAAGTAAGCTACACATAGCCGAGCGCTCAGTCTCCGCCCCTTGAAACAACCGCCACTGGGCACGGCAAACACTGGCCAGCAGCGCCAAAGGGATACCAAGGGCAGAAGTTGGGCGAGTTGGTATGATGACATGATGAACAGAACAGCACACAAAAGACAAGGACAGAAAAAAAGGAACATGCACGACAGACAAGCGCTTGTGTGTCGTGCATGTTCCTTTTCTCTGTCCTTGTCTTTGTGTGCGCTGTTCTGTTCATCGGGCACCGCCCCCCGGCCCTTGGGGGTGGGTCTAGTTTGCCCCTTCACTCCTAAACACGTTGGTAGGCCATTGCTTTGTAGTCCGTTGCAACTCAAGAAGATAGGCCGAGGGAAAGCAGACGGAACGCTGGAGAATGTTTCCCTCTCTCCCCTCCAGCGTTCCGTCTGCTTCTTCCTCTCCAGCCTTCCTTTCCCTCGCCCCACCTTCTTGAAGTGTAACTTGACCAAGGATCAGTAAATATGTTTAGATCTTTAGGGGGAAACGATCATTCTTTTTACACACCTGTGATGAGGGCCACTTTGTTGCTTAAGTCCGGCATCGTTGAATTTGACTGCAGAAAGCCACCGAGTCAACTGAGTCCGATGAATGCACGTGCGAATACTTGCAAACCAAGCCTGGTGGTAAAAAAGCACAACTGCCACAGGAAATGTTGCAAAGGTTCCGGGTCTGCGTCCCAGGCCACCCAGGCCACCCAGGCCCAACACCAAATGCAAGACCAGCGAGACCGATAAAATAAAATCAGCAGCGCCAGTAAATTTAGAGGCTTGTTTTGTTTAGCTAGCTATCGGCTATCGGTTTATCAGAGCGGAAAATAGGTGCAGACACGTGGACTAACGTTGGACTGCACTGCACACTGCACAACCAGCCGACACACCACACCAACCACACTGTAGGCGCAACTCCTTCCCCTAGATTACAGCCCACCCGCCCACCTCCTTGTTGACGGCTGATTACAGGCATGGTTGGTTTTTAATGCTACATGCTGCTTTATTTTTTTTAGTCATAGTATGTTTTTTCGCAACTGCGTTTACTGCGCAACCGATAACTAAAATGGTTTCTGGCTTCCAGAGCTTCTTGCAGTCGACGGCAGGGGGATTGAGTCCCCGCGCTCCGCTGACGTCACGGATTAATGTCGGCCGACTTTGATAATTTGTGATCGGCCTCCTTATACACGGCGAGGGAGGTGGTCGGCGTGAGCGCTAACTCCTTATTATCTCTAATAAGGTAATCTCATTCGATGGCCGAACAGCCTGAGCGACTTAACATAGACACTGTGCTGGCAAGGCTCCTCGAAGGTGAGTCCGCCGAGAAGCGTTCTGTGGTGCGGGTAGTCCTAGCGAACGGCGGTGCCGCTGGCTGCTTTCGTGCATGTTTGGGTTTCGGCCGCGCTCGTCGCTACACGTGACAAAATCCGCTTGACAGGTGGAACGCGGGGGACATCTGTTCGAACCGAACCCCTCCACACGCGTCGTGGTCGCTAATTTAATCGTTTGCCGGTCGTACGAGACCTGCAACTGTAGTGTGCCCCGGAAGCCGGCCAACCAAAGAAAAAAAAGAAAAAAAAATTGATTACTTTTGGGACAGTGGGAGCGAAGCGGAGGAAAGAAAAAAAAAGCTCCATTTTTAGCGCGCTCGGGTGCTCCATTCTCGTAAATAAAAGCGACCCCCCGAACCCCGTTCTTTTTCTTTCTTTTTTCCCCGTTAGGGCGTTTGTAACTAAAGTGTGGACAGAACGTGAGCGGACTTAGAAGGCTCTCGCAGGCAGGAGTGCGACAGTGGCCCGCCCGGCAAACCAGCCGGCAAGCCGGTCGGTATTTGCATGGCGCGCCAAAGGGGAACAGGTTTTTTTTTGTTTTTTTTTTTATAACGAATGAAACAGCGTGAGTGCGCCGCCAGCGCCACGGGTCGTTTAGGTACACGGAGGAAAAGCCGATGCCCCAAAGGACGGGAGTAGCGCGTGGGATCGGGGAAGCCAAGCACGTCGCGTGCCCTATTCCTCCGGCGTGTGTTCGCACCCGTCGCTGCCGCTCGCCTGACCACCACAACCACCACCGCGTGCGAACTTTATTTTTATTTTTTTTTGCTCTGGGCGCAAGTTTGTTTTGTACGTGTGTACTACCTTTATTTTTGTCTCCTCCCGTTACGACTCAGGTAACCGTGTTTTGTATTGTGTCGGCGCGGCCTTGGGTTGCATCTTCGCGAGGGGAGAGTCGATAACCTTATCTATATCGGGTACCCAAAAACAAATCTAGCTCGGCCTTCGCCTGGCGAGAAGCGATAAATCCGAGCCCATCTTATTACGACATCGTGGGTTGTTCCCTTGTTTATGCGCCGACTGCTTTTTTGCTCAAAAGGTGAGAGGCTGCGCACTCCATCGCTTAGTACGCCGGTTTTCTTGCTGTCACTCCCTTTTCTTCTGCTGCCCTGAACGTGATCGCCATGGGGTGTTGGTGGGTGACCACGAGCTCAACAGCGAGTTTGTTGTCAACCACCTGACACCGGTTTTGCACCGCAATTCCACGTACAAATGAAGGTCACAGGCAGCTCCTTTTTCGTGTTGCTGGGTGTGGTGAGGTTAGGTATGAATGAAAATGCAGATTGGACAGGTTTTCTATCCTGCATTGGGTCCTTGACGGCGCTTCAGTGAGATTAATTTTTCTCTCTGGTTGTTGCTGCACCGCCCCCCCAGCGCGAGCGTTGCACCGGCACCATTGGAGAATCTGGTGCCCTCGTGACATTGGTTGCATATGAGAGTAATTTCTGGTGGTTGTTTCTGTTATTCAATTTTTTAGAGTCTCAGCGTGAATTTCCTGCTGGACGTGGGAATTTGTGAAGAGATCGCAGACCTGCTGTCGTGTCTCAATGTAGCACCACATGTTTCGTTGCAGTTTTGACCTTGCCGCAGCTGCGGAGGTTTCGGTTGATGCATTGTCAGGAGAATTCAACATCAGTGGAATGTCGAAGGGTCTTATTTTTTCTCTCGTATCTTTGAAAGGCTGTCGCACCCTGTCCAGATGTATGCTTTGGTGGGATGGAGGGCTAACGCTTGTAGAAATTTGTGTGGGAGTTCGCTGGTTCTGGAGGCTTAGCATTGTACTTAGAAGTAACAATAAAATTAAAACACTGAAATGCACATATTTTTCGAGGCATTGTATGATAGAAGCGATCGTATCAGCGATTGAATGCTGTGGTGTTCCTGCAAACTAGCCCAAGTGCTCACCCTGCTATATTCCACTATGTTTCACCAAAATCGTCAATTTCTGCCAAAATTTAATTTTCTCAGTACTGAAATTAATAGCCTGCTACACTATTAGAGTTACTGTTACATTACAAAAATTAAAAAAAAAAAAAAGTTAAAATGTTGTTTTAATAACATATTATTAGATTTCATTCCTCGAACTCTGACAGTACTTGACAGTTCCGTAATATTTCTCCTGTTAGTGGCCTGCTCGGTTGGGTTTATTAGTTCCATTGAGTGCGCATCTCGCTTCGCACTGATGCACTGCAGAGAAGTGCCATTTGTGGAGTAGGCATGGCGATTCCACATACCTCGCTTTGTCACAGTGCATTCGCATACTGGGGAGAACAACACTCCAAAACGAGTTGGTGCATGCACACGCAAAACAAATTGAGGACACGTTAGCCACACAAGCAGAGGGAGAGGGGTCGTACAGTGAATTAGTAGAAATATTCACAGTGCTGCGATTGCTGTGCCAAAGGGTTTATCCTGTTACATTTAACCCAAATGTGAAGAATTTGCATAACAATGCGCCAAAACTTGACTTCTTTTTATGAAACGGCAACTCTGCTCAATTCCAAAACTTTTGGGATAATTAGTGATTTCAGATTAAAAGCATAATAAAAGGCACTACGTAATTTGCTTTGTGAAAAAAGGGATATATGTTTTTAAATCTTTCATTAAACATGAGGATAAATCGAAAGCGAAACTTTGGCTCCGTCTGGGAACATTGGCCTCTGGCCGCCATAATAGACACTCTGTGCGACGTATGCAACCGCGAAAGAGAAACTATAGAACATGTAATTTTAAGGTGCACGGGGTTTCGTCCCACCCTCTTGGGGGAATGACTACGGATTTGGAGGGGGCACTGGTTTTTCCGTACATGGATGGACGAATGGATAGGGAAAGAATTGCGGTAACTAAGAGGAGATTGGAAGATTGGTGGAAGAGATCTGGGGAAGGATAAAAAAAAGAAAGAAAATACAGATAAAAATCAGCAATAATTTCAATTTAAGAGAGGGGGAGGTCTGTTATAACAAAATTCATACGAATTTAAAAAAAAGAAAGAAGGGATGACGAAATGTTCGGCTAGGTGGTGCAAGCTGCCGCCCATTACAAAGGGTATAGCCATTACCATCCATCCATCCAAACATGGCTATCATGTGGTATGAGATGTCATGTGAACCTCTGTGCAACGACTGGCGGGATTGGGACGGGCGTGTGGGCCACCATTGGGGTGGGCGTGTGCTAGGCGCAAATGTCGTCTGTACCGCACTCTTCACCACATTTTGGTGTCTACGCCATTTGACGACTTCTGCATACATAGTGTGAATGTAACTCGCAAGAAACAATAATCACAAACGGCGAGACGACAACGGCGGTTGTGTTGTTACGCGGGAGGCTGCGGTGACGGCCAATCGGCACTCAAGAAGCGCACTGCGCAGGCGCGTTACGCCAATCACGTGGACACCACTGAACACCGAAAGGAAAAATTGCTCACATCACCCGTTACGCTTGCCCGGAGAAGCAGAGACAAACAAAAAGGGGCAATGGTAATGACGTTTAGCCCGGTGTTGGCTTTCCCAATGCCATAGCCTTGACTGCACTGTTGGTAGCACCTCAATTCGCCCTCTAGAGTCGGCCAATTTCGGCAACTTGGCGTGTTGCGAAGTTTGCCGAACCGTTTAAGAAACATTCAGACAGAACAAGATTGTAATATTTGACGCGTGGTTTTCCTAGGTGATACGGAAGAGGACTGCATGGTTTTTTCAAAGAGAAAAATGAAGCGGAGTTTCCCTCTAATACTGAAAATACAATGGCTCAGGCCCCGCTACACGTCTGAATCATGAGGGTAGGCTTGTGCGATTCAAAATTTTCTATTACAGCCACAAATGCATACTATCCTATTTGATCTCTCTGTCAGTGTCAAGTACTCGGAATCTTTCTAATACCCCTTATGTTCGTAGTCTACTCTGGCAGATAAGTTAGCTTTGTTGAGTGCTCTTCTCACCGTGCTCGTGTGTACTGCAGTGAAGCGAAAACCTTGAAGTAAACAGATTTTGCTTACCTTGCTTCGTGAATGTTAATTTAACAGCTCTCAGTTGCAGGAAAAATTTTTCAACAAGACGGCAGCTATTATTTTAGACTGCGGTATTCTGGCGATGTCTTTTTCAAATTCAAGGTTTAGCAAGGGTGCTCGCAAGAAACTATATAAACTTCCCTACAGCTTTATTTTTATTTCAACTCTTGTTCAGTTATCACCTTTATAAATGTTTTGTCCATTATTTCAGTGGAATATACTATTCTGTTTCCATTTTATTTCACACCTAAATTGACCATTCACAGCTGTCCATAGTATCCTTCATCAATGAGAATCTTGCTGCCATGCGTAGTGCTCCTATGTGCAACTAAACAGCTGTGTTAGAGGGAATCAAACCTGCCATTGCACAGAAGTTGGAAGGCAAAGTAGGCATAATTTTTAATTAATAGACCAACACACGAATCTTAGCATGTAATATTCACAGTAGTATGAATAAAAATGAAGTGCGCTCCAAAAATTACTTTTTGCTGCTTCATAATGGACTTTGGCCTGTTCCAAAAAAGGCTACAAAGTGAGTGGCTAATCACATCGCTGGATTCAGAAAAGAGTTGGAGTGATGAAATCAAGCCAGATTTAAGAATAAATACAGGCCAAAAAGCTGGTGGGATAAGGATGCCAAAGCAGCCATAAATCGGAGACAAAGGGCATCCAGGAAGTGTAGGAGAGCAAAAAAGAGGAATGCTTCAGCACAAGAAATAGAGGAAGAATGGAAGGACTGCCAGGAAAAGATATCAGCGGCATGTGCCTTGATCCAGGAGAAGATTGAAAAAGACAAAATAAAATGAATGAGGGGATTTAACCAAAATGATAGAAGGGCAGCCAAGAAGACGTAAGTTCGCAGGGTAGAAAGACAGGTGCATCACCATTCATGAACTATTGGTGATGGGACACAGGTAGAAGGGGAGGGGCACACCTCTAGAGCATCCAGAAATTGCAGAAAAAATAGATTGTAGCAA